TTTAAATAAATAACTTTTACACAATTTAAACTATTGCACGCACGACGTTGCCAATCTTACATCAATGACATCGGATGTCCAAAGTTGCAAAATACCAATACGCGCGATGTTGCCACGAAGGTCCACATTAATATCAACATTTCGATGCAAGTACATAAAAAACTCTACCTAATTCCGACCTCTGATTATAACATTAGAAAAAAAAGGATCTGAGAATCAGCAGTGCAGAATATTTTATTTACAAGATAAATTTAAAAAATAGTTTTGTTGAAATTTTAAACGTTAGGTAGTCTGAAAGAGTTGGGTGTAGCACATCTGTTTTATAATCTTTGTCGACGACTCTGTGGCAACGTAATCTATGATATTTTGTAAGTGGCACTTCCAGTGCTGCCAATTTAGCATTTTTATGGCTAAATTTAGCATGTTTTCAAGTGATTTGGCATAATTAAATTAAGTTTAGCATATAGCATATTTTTTAGCATTTTGCTGAAAGTAAAATACTTAAAGCTCATAAACGCGACCGTAGGAGGTAATGTTTCTGAACGCAACCTAAGAGTGATCGTAGATTTATAGTCATAGAGTAGTCTTTGGTTAGATAATTTCCGCTTGATTATAATGAGTCTTTGGTGAGGGGAATCCCGCTTAAGTAGATAAATATTCGTTGTGCACTTGGTTCGTTTGTGTTGACATTATTTGAAAAAATTCATTTGACTGCGCCAGGTTACCAAAAAATCTAAAAGTTTATTAAATTGACGATGCCTCCTAAATATAACCAACATTATCGTGTAGAGTGGGAAATGATGTCCGATTTTAAAGATTGGCTTCAGCGGGTCGACAATGACACCACAAAAGCGTATTGCAAGCATTGCAAATCCCAAATTGTGGCAAAATATTATTGCTTACAACAGCATGCTACATCTTCCAAACACATAAAAGCAATGGAGCCATTAAGAGGACAAAAAAAAATAGAGTTCCCGAAAATAGTAAAAAATCTCAATACGCAAAAAGCTGAAAGCACACTTGCTTTATTCATATGTGAACATACTTCAATTTTAAGCGCCGATCATTTATCACAACTATGTAAAACTAGATTCAGCGATAGCCAAAGTGCTGACTTACGACTACACAGGACAAAATGCACAAATGTAATTAAAAACATATTGGCACCACATTTTTATCAAGAATTAGTAAACGACATTGGAGATCAAGAATACAGTATATTGATTGATGAATCAACCGACATTTCAATAAGCAAATTATTAGGCGTGACAGTTAGATATTTTAGCTTAGCATTGAAGAAAATTGTTTCCACGTTTTTAGGATTAGTGGAACTTGAAGACGGAACAGCCAACGGTATAGTAAATGGCTTAAAATTATTGCTTTCTGGTTTGAATTTGGATATAAAAAATATTATTGGCATCGGTACGGACAACGCGACCGTTATGACAGGAACCACCAATGGTGTTCATCAATTGCTGAAAACTGAAACTGGCAAAGATAACTTGGTATTAATACGTTGTGTTTGTCATTCCTTACAATTAGCAATATCACATGCCTCCGAACAGACACTACCTCGACATATAGATTTTCTAATACGTGAAACTTATAACTGGTTTAGTTATTCTTCGAAGCGGCAAATGTATTACAAGGAATTATATAAAACTATGAACTGTGGATCAGACCCCCTTAAAATCCCTAGATTATGCAACACTAGATGGATATCTATCGAGCCAGCTGTGGTTCGCATTTTGGAACAATGGGAAGAATTAAAACTGTTGTTTGAAGTTACTAGAAGCAGAGAACATTGTTATATGGCGGAAATGTTGTTTAACATGTACAATGATCCCGTAAACCATTTATATATCATTTATATCAAGCCAATTGTTCAAGAAGTCCAAAAGGTAAATAAACTTTTTGAAAATAACGATGTTGACATAACTAAACTGTATAATGACCTTATTTGCTTAACGGAATCAATTAGTCGACGCATTTTGAATCCTACAGCCAGTGTTGACGTTTTGACACAAAATATTGCCAGTTATGTAGATCCGTCACTGTATATGGGCTACGCTTTCGAGACGAAGTTAAGGGAGTATGATTTAGCTGAAGAAGTAGCAAAAAACCTTAGACAGAGATGCATAAATTTTACCCTTAAACTTGTAACCGAATTACAGTCGAGATTGCCTACGAACTTTGAGGTTCTTCGAAAAATGTCAATGTTTTCAGTACAAGAAACTAAAAGTTGTCAAACCACCAATTTTTGAAATAGCGCAAGAATTTAATAAAGATGCAACAACAATAGATCAACTCATTTCACAATGGCGAAATATTGTTTTTATAGAATGGCAGTGTACTTCCTCAACTGCTGAATTTTGGTGTGAAGTTTTGGAGTACAAGGACGCTGCTCAAAATAATCCCTTCAAAGAACTGGCTACGTTTGCAATAATGTTATTAACATTACCTCACTCAAATGCAGACGTTGAACGTGTATTTAGCCAACTTAACTTGGTTAAAACTAAACTAAGGAACAGCTTATTAACATCCACCTTAAATGCAATTTTGTACGTAAGATTTGGATTAAGAAGAGTTGACAAATGCTGTCACTCCTATGAGGTCCCTGATCAAATTTTGCGAAAAATAGGGACTAATGAGGCTTATGCATCTACGTCATCTGCTCCATACCTACCGGCTACATCAACAGCTCAGGATACCGACGAGGGTCTTCGCAATTTATTTATAAATGCTTCTTTATAAAGATTTTTTTAAATAAATATTCTTTATTTCTGTAATAATAGCATTTTTTTTAGCATTTTCGTAAATATTTGGCATATTTTTGGCATTTTTTAAATGCCGATTTAGCAGAAATATTTTTTTAGAGTTGGCAGCCCTGGGCACTTCAACATTAAATAGTCTGAAAGTAAACTCATAACTGTGAACACGTTTATTTATTTTACCGCTCCTTCGTATAAATAGAGTCAGATAGTAAACTTATCTATAAGTTAAATATCAACCTATATACTAATAAATAAAACACATAACATTTCGGTAAAGTGGTGACCCAATACAATAATCGGTAAATGGGCAATTATCCATTTTCTTGGGGTTGTGATGAGACTAGCATTTTCTAAATTCATCTTTTACTGGGAGCCAACATGGAACTAAAACTATCTGTTGTTTTGATAAATTCTAATTGCAAGTGCATGTAATAAGAATAAAATTTAATTGTATCTATGCCCAGAAAAGAAAGGTAAACAAATGAAATTTTTATTATTACTTTTATAACATGGGTCATGACTCATGACCCATCCTCCTTAACTATCCATAAGGAAGGCCTGAGCCCCTGCAGTGGGTACGTAAAAGGGCCGGTGATGATGATGATGATGAATTTAAGTATTAAATATTAAATTCCTTTGTATTGTACACAATAGAAAATTAGCAAGTGTCATCTTAGCCGTTCTTTCATTATTTGTAGGAGTCATTCATTCGTATTCCGTACCAGTGTGGCCAGATTTAAGTTCTTAATCCCTTTTTAGGAGTTGAAAATATTTCCTGTCATAAATTTATTTATTTACAGTGAAAATTATATCTTTCTTTAAATCTTTGGATTATAGTCTATTACTAAATAAATAAGTAAATAACAATAACATTACGAGAGTTACCCAAAAACAAATTATACAATTATGCTTTTTTGTGGCTTCAAATGAGTAGCAATCGGTTATCTCGGATTTTATTTGCATTGTGTAACAGGTGGCGTATAGAGCCATTTTATGTAAATGTCGCAGCCAACTATTTATAAAAACCTTTTCATCGAATGGCGCCATTCAATTGATTGATTAAAAGTCGACCAGCGGAGTCCCCGAACATAACGTTCTACAGTACGGCTGTACGAAGCTAACTGGTAAACTGTCAATGACAATACGGCGATATTAATTTTATTCTCACTAACGTAGAAATGTTGGACCTCCGTAAGCGTGTGGCTTGCACGTAGAAAAAACTTTTTTATATTATCTCTTGTCTGAATGATTAATACAAGTGCTCAGGCTACTTAAATATAGGATCTGAATAATGTATGTGATATTGTCAAATATTTATTTATCTTCATTTATAAATAAATTCAAAAGCTGAATATCCGTGATATTAGGATAAAATATACCCTTTCTGTTGACGCCATTTTGTAAACAAGGCGAGAATAAGACTGCGGTGGCGCGGAGATGTTACTCAATGAATCCTATTGAACGTGTTAAATTACACTTTAAATATTTTTATTAAGGATGTTCCTAGCATATGTACTTGACTTACGAGGTGTTCGTGAACCATAAATGGTTAGAAAACGCTTGTATATTCATTGAAAAATATCAAACTAAAGGAAGATTGTTCCGATACAAGATCAGACGTAAATTTATTAAGATGATCCTAAATTCCCTTCCGGACTTAAAGTCAATTGTGTTTCAAAGTCTTATGCATAAGTACAAATTCATTTGTTTTTAGAGTTCCGTGACAAAAAGGAAAATAGCATATAGGATCACACGTAAGGCTGTGTATCTGACATAGTCGATTTTCTCCAAAATCACTAGGTCGATCGAATTATAATTTGCTACACATACCTGTACGAGTAAAAGATCGGGTCTTTTTAATAGATATTTTATAAAAGTTTGGCAAAGTCTAATAATAAAAATATAAGTAGATATATTTTAATAATTATATAATGAAAATAGTTTTAAGCTTATTTAAATAAAATTATTTAAAATTAGCTTATTTAAAGAAAACAGATGATATAGATAGATAAAACTTATGATATAAATAAAACTTATTAGAAGTCTGTGGTTGTTCTTTTTATATTTCGCTAAACAGTGATCAAGAAGCTGATATTTGATCTACACTTAAATTTTTAGGTCATCTATATTAAACTGGTCACACAAATTCTGCTTTTCATTCATTCATTATAAGTCGTCACGTCATGTCGATCAATCATCATTCATTCAATCATCATTCTTTAGTTTAATTTGGTGGACGTCGTGTTATTCTTTTTTATTTTTACTATTGTTTAATTTAAAGCCGGAAACATTTCTTAAAATGTTTGTTGCGATAACTGTAATTAATTTTATTTAAATTATTTTAATTTTTTGAAATAGATAATCATAGGTGCGTTTCCTGAAAATAATGGGTTCGCGTCATACATGTGTGTTTAGTCTGTTTTTGGTTTTATTTATTAACAATTGTGCTCCACGTACTGTTGATAAAGATCTTGACGATGTGTTCAAACCAACGGCGCAATATACTAAGTACAAGGAACTTGTCAAATTATTTGATAATTTACAAAAGTCCTATCCAGATCTGGTTAAAGTTTACTCAATCGGGAAGTCAGTGGAAGGGCGAGACCTATTAGTGATTCAGATAACTAAGGATGTTAGCCAGAAGCACGATACCCGACCTGCTTTCAAATATGTGGCCAATATGCACGGAGACGAAGCCGTGGGCCGGGAGCTGATGGTATACTTAGCACAGTACCTTCTGCTTAACTATGGAAAAAACGAAAGGGTAACGAAACTTGTCGACAATACGGAAATCCACTTGATGCCGTCACTCAATCCTGATGGATTTGAGAGTAGTGATGTGAGTATCTCAAATTTATTACGCATTCATATTTTCGTTGAAACAATATTATCCTAGTAATCATACTGCTAATTAATCTACTCAGATTATTATATTATTCAACTAAAACATAATAGCATGTCCGTTTAGAATCTTTATTATTGGTGAAATGCATTTTTACCTTAGGTGATTACTAAATATTTAGGCAATAGATTTGGGTGACTCCTAAGTTTAGTGAAAACAGGCATATATGTAACAAAACATTGTAAAAATGATTTCATAATTTTAACATCAGTCTCCATAAAGCAAACAAAAAAATTAAAAAATATATATATACAAGGAAGAATTTAACATCTAATGACACCGAAGAGATCACCCAAATGTTGACTGGTAAAGAATTACCAAGGCATTAAGTCTGCCTTTGTATATTTGTGCAATAAGCATTAAATAAAATAAATATTCAGGCAAACATTCCTCAGTCAAGAAGTCTGTATTTGAACGTTACAGCTAAATGTCCTTGATAATTATTTCAATTTTGTAATGTGGGTTTATCCAATGATTCATCACACTTATTAGTTTAAAACTATGCATATAATGTAAGGTAGTATTATTTACCATGAAAATGAAACTTGATCAGCAGTTATAATCAAGGTTACTGAACCAGAGTAACTTTCTATTAACCTTTATACTTACTACTTCCTTATTTTTGTTATACTAAAAGTAACACAAATAAACTCATAATTTCTTATGTACACATAGCAAGATATATCAAGTTATTGCAAATTGTCAAGTGTCCACAATTGAATTTGCAGTCCATTATGAAATCAAGGTTCAAAATCTATTTGCTTCTTTCTATTTCTTCAAAAGAAATTGCCCAGTTTTCTAAAATGTGTTTTACAGATGGCATGTCAGGTTATACAAAACTGTCAAATCCACTTGATTTTAAACCTTTACATATTGAGTGTAGCATACACAATCAATCCTAGAAAAACATATTATGGTAACTTAACTTGCTGCTGTGTATTTACTGTTAACTCTACTATACAATTTATTAATATTATTATTGATCATCATCACCAGCCAATTAATAGATGAAACAAATCAAATAGGGAGAATATTATTATCCATTAAATACAAATAAGTTAATAATTTCTTAAGTATCATAAACAGTATTACTGGTGCAGTCAATAAAACTATTTATCTCATTATCAGCTTGTAGTGCATAATAATGCACTGTTATTCAGTTTAAAGGTGACTAGTCTTCCAATGACCTCTTTCCTGACATTCTAGATTAGATATCTTACGTTGCCAGGACTTCTAGAAGAGGGCACAAGCATATCATTAATATAAAAGTGAATTGTGTATATCTTTAAGTGAAGACACTGTTAAAACATAAATTGCTCATAACATAACAGGCAATATTATAAGGACAATCTGCGTTTTGAAACTCACAAAAAAATCTTGTGATAACAACAGGCCAAGAACAGCCTTTGTGAAAGTTGCCAGATGTAATTGCACAATCAAACTCTATTAATTAAACTACCTATCCACCAGCGGCTTCACCTGAGTGGTCCTATATTATGCATATAAATTTTCCACTTTAATCTCTATGTATGTTGATGAAAACTGCATCTCATTGTACAGACAGCAGGAAGCGATTCTGTTTTATACAACATATAGATTAAAGATTTCGAAATAGTTTTGTTAGTTAATAAAATGTTATATACAATATGAAAGATTGTGTTGTTGGCACACATCCAGGGAAGGCCTTCTGGTTTACAAAGCTAGTGAAATGTAGCCATGTGGTGTTATTAATTAATGTAATGCAACAAAAGTTTTGCTATCCTAATTATGATTTCAAAAAGGCATAGAATACCTATGTATAATGAAATACATAATACATATTCTAAAACTGGATTAGCATAATTATATGTATTATGTGATTTGTCAAGACAAATACTTATAAAATCACCAGTCCCATCAGCTCTACTGCATAACTAAAGCCCTGATTGATTTGCAAATTATGCATGAGATCTGGAAGGCTGACAGATGGACTATCAGCAGATGGATCAGGGTTGGTCTCTTCAATCCTAGACCGGAGATGGAACAGTGAATATTTGGACATCTGGGATTGGTGACTTAAGTATTTTTCTGTGAAATGAATATCAAGAAAGTATTTATCAAAAATAATAAATGGAGTGAATTTTTAGTCTGTTTTCGGTACTATTGTTTTAAAGTTTTGTTTAATAGTTTCACGATGTAATATAAAAAATATATATTACTATCCGTAACATGTTTTAACCTAGATAGCAATGTTACCATGTACATTTCCATTAGTTTATCAGATATGAAATCATCATTAAAACTATATTCCATATTTAGTTACTTTTATAGTTATGTTTAATTAATTGATCTAATGCGTGTTGAATTGATCTGTATAGTAGAGTAAAGTATACCCCTCGGGCATTCCTTGTCATATATCTGTGGGCTAAATGGATAGATAATGGTAGGTACCTAAAAATGGTAACTGTAATCTTTCGACGGGTTTAGCTAAGTTTATATTATGAAATCTTCATTCGTTCCAAAAACGATTGCAATTTTAAACGTTACGCTACTGCAATCGCTATACTTTTTAATAGACCCAAATGGCATTTCTCGGGTGAAATGCCATGTGGGTCTATTAAATATGATATCCGATATATAAATATATATCCCAAGCGTTACTTTTTTCGACTCGAAAAAAGTAACGCTTGGGGTAGACAAAACGTTTCTCGAATTTGTCATAGTACACGCGGGAGACCCAAGTAGCAGATAGAAGGGGGAGAGTAAAGGAAGCGTATAACGCATCCCCTCTTTAAACTTTATAATTAATTACGCTTATTGTATAAGTGTAACATTATAACCTTCGGCTACAAAGTGACGCTTATATTTATCAATTTTCTCTATAAACAAATAGTATAATTACGAGAACCTTGTTAGTTTTTAGATCGACATAATTCACGTGCGTGACTTGACTGTGCCATCACCATTAGAAGTGAAATGTAGATTCTTATTAAATGTAGTTAAAGCTTCATCATCAGTCGGAAGACGTCCACTGCTGAACATAGGCCTCCCCCTTTGAACGCCACGACGGATGACATAGTTAAAGCTTATCTGGACTTAATTTTTTAATACAATATCATTTGGTGATAAAATCATTTAATACATATACGTGCCCTCTTAAATAATGCAGCATCCTTATAAACATTCCTTTTTAGGTCGGCTGCGAGTCCCAACCAAACTTCGTTGGTCGCAACAATGCAAAAGGTATCGACTTAAACCGGGACTTTCCCGATCAGTTCGACCGAAACAGTTCTGACGATGAGGAATACCTATTTGGAGGCCGGCAGCCGGAGACGATAGCTCTTATGAAATGGGTCATGGGGAAACAGTTTGTGTTGTCAGGGAACTTACACGGTGGAGCAATTGTCGCTAGCTACCCCTACGATGATTCCATGTGAGTTGGGTATAATTGAAACCGTTATAAATTAAAGATAATACCTTTCAAACTTATCTTCTGTCGAGTGATTCGAGTGGCTTTTGTTAGTCTTCTATGCAAATAAGCGACATGAAGTTTTATCACTATTTGTTAATAGGACATTTTACTCTGTTTTCTTACCTTCACATTAAATCAAAATTTAAGTTTTTATACTCGCGAATACACTGTCCCTCATATTCATGACGTCATTCGGATATGTACACGAAACAGACAAAAAATCTCTACTTTTAAATTTTGAGATAATAAGATATCGTGCAATTCTAGTATTATGATTATTCTGATGTAAATTTTAGTTTTTCAGCAATTTCAATTTCACTTCGGAAACTACATACTCTATTGCTATAAATGAATCCCAATCCACTTCTAAGCAGTGTCTAGAAATTTTTTTAAAGTTTTTTTTGATCTTAGTTATCTAATAACACTCAACTCTACTGCTATGATAGAACAAGTTCTCATCTAAATACATAAAATTAAACAAAATCACATACGTTATTCAGATCCCAAATAAGTACTTGTATGATGAAATTTCGAAACAATGAAGGTATCATAACACTTAATTCGCAAAAGTTCATTCGGAATCGATCCGATAACATTCTAAGATGGCGACACTTTGAAACTACTATATATAATAATTAAACCCTATAATAATTTGTAACAAATTACTACCGTCAAATAATATTATATGCACAAAAAAAGGACAACCGCCGACATGTCTTTACGCGATTGTACTAAGTGATGTCATGTACTAAATTAATTATGAAATTTTCTTGTAGCACCGGTAGAGACTGTTGCGTAGAAAGTCCAGCGCCAGACGATGCTGTATTCAAACACCTGGCGCACACGTTCGCTTCCAAACACGAAGTGATGCGGAAAGGCAACGCCTGCCCCCCGGACAACTTCACAGGCGGCGTCACCAATGGCGCTGATTGGTATTCTGTTAAGGGTATGTTGTATTTAGATGCTCGAGTAAATGCTATAAACCCCATTATATTACCCTGTGGAACATTGGAATCTTTCATACGACTTCATTGACGGCGTCACCAATGACTTACTATGACAAGGGTACGTGGTCTGTGGTTGTATTCAGATATTTTGAGTAAATACTATCTTGAACCCTTTCGTAAATGAAAATTGAAGTCGTTCTAGACATTATCTAAATAAACTATAATATTCGCTATGTTCTAGTTCCTTCTACGCTCACAGGTGCAATTAACCACCCACCTGTGTCATTCATCACCCTGTTTGGTTCCGTCAATTCCTGTTATTATAGTGGGCGAATATTGTTTAATTTGAAATTATAGTGTTTGCTCATTGTTTGTGTTTGCAAAAAATGCTACTGGATGCAACTGATGTAGCTAGGGCAGTGGCTTTAGCTTATTCGGGGTATAGCCAGCGTCGCATCGCTCGCGAGTCTTCTTGAGGTGAGAAATGTCAGTGTCAGTGAATGTACCATTACAAGAAGACTAGCAGAAAGTAATTTGAGGGCTTGTCGTCCAGCTTGCGCTCCGCAACTGCTCCAACAACTGTAGAGGAATGGAAGAACGCACTGTTTTCAGATGAGAGCAGAATAGCCTTAAGAGGTCTAGATGGACTTCAGCGTGTCAAAATGAGAGGCTTACTCAGTGGCGTAGCTACTAAGGGGCTAGGTGGGGCAGTGCCCCGAGGCCCTCAAGCTCAGGGGGCCCTCGAATCTTTACCAGAAAATCTCAATCGAACTCAACTTTTGAAAATTTCTCCCATCTTCAAAATAAAAATGACAGGTGATAACTCGAGTTTAATCATGGAAACTCAGTTGTGAGTAATTCCAAAGTTATAATTAGGTACCCTCCTTTGCGTCGCGCAGTCGGGTAAAAAGGGAATTCCCGTAAATTATTTGTGTGGGTTGACAGTGTTATTAATGTTTTCATCAATTTGTTGGATATCTGCATATTATTATTTATGAATATGCGTTTTTGTGATTCGCGATTGTGAACTTCGAGTCAAGATTTTTTTCGAGAATGGTTAAAAAGTTATTGTATCAGGAGTAAGTAAGCGTATGTCAATCAATTTTTTGTACTGGTCCATACAAAAGTTCAATTTTATTTGATTGTAGTCCGTCAAACCGTCAAAAGTGGTAACACTGGCGGCGATAAAGTGTTTGCCGGGGATTCCCCAACGACGCCTTGTATCGTATCATTTTCATTCATTCACGTTTCGCTTTCCTTTTACTTGTAACGTTGTCAGTGAACAGTGAGTACCTACTTGAGTACAATCTTACATAAATATTGCATAAATAAATTAGAAAACTAATATTATGGACAAAAAAAAAAAGAAACCCAGTGGTGCATTTAAACGCAAACAACGCCAAGAAAGAGGAGAAAGTAAACAAAAATTACGCAAAATTGACAAGTTTTTTAGTCAGCCTTCTGAAAGTTCTTCTGGATCAAATATTTCTATTGATAATTTTTGTAAATAGCTTGCATAGCGATAGGTTAAATAACAGTAAGCTGGTGCAACGTATCTATGATTAAATAAATATATAATAAACCCTTGAATCTTTTCTATTTCGTTTTATAATAATTGTAATTTATGTTGTTAGTGTTTAATAGTTTTATTACCTGCCTATGCACGAAAAAGAGCTGATGATAAAGTTGTTTAGCATTTTTAAAGTATTTGTATATTTAATGATTTTACTTCAAAAATCCTTACCAGTTTTGATAGAAGTGGGCCCCAATTTTTTTATTTGCCCCAGGGCCCTAGATTACCTAGCTACGCCACTGGGCTTACTCCAGGCGCTATAACTGAAACAGTAGGTTACCAGGGAGGGTCTATAATGGTTCGATAGAGGGAATGTAAACGCTCAAAGATACGTGGAAGATGTTCTTCAAGACCATGTCATATCTTTCGCTCCGTTCAGTGATAACAACTTCAGATTAATGCATGACAATGCCATACCGCAAGATCTGTCAGTGAGTACCTTAATGAGGTCGGTATTCACACATTTGGGCATTTGGAACACCCTTAAAAGTCGTCTCCGAACAAGAGTACCAGTCCCTACGACTATAGGTGAACTAAAAACGGCTGCAGTAGAGGTATCCCTTAATCGGATATTCACCACACCTTGGTTGGATTTACAAACCAGTTCCAAGAAGTCATAAGGGCCGAAGGTGGCAATACCCACTATAATTTTTATTTTTCTTTTAATTGCCCCATTATTATGAAAACAAAAATTTTAGAATTTTAATTGAAGTTTTTAAAAATTCGATTTTTGGTAAAAGCCCGTTAATAAAAGACTTCCAATATTTTTGTTGTTTCTTTTTCTTCAAATATAGTTTTTAACATTCCTTTCATAAAAGATGGTCTACGTTTGGCGATTTCTGCGAATTGAAAGAAATAGAAGGTGGGCGTTTAATTGTGCTTGTGGGTGTAGTTCGTTTCCAGTTCTAATCCCCTAAACAAATACCTATGCATGGTACCAGAGTGAAGATATATAGATAGATAAAATAAATGTAGTTACTATTATATTAAAAAATAATTGTAAGTACTAATCCACAAAGTCAGGACGCTCTATATTTTATGGAATTCCCCGATGACATTTGTATTCTATTACTCATAAGGTTCAAATAAACTAGATAACATGATATGTGACTCGGCTCAGCTTCGCACTGATAAGAAAACTTTCTCGAGATTTATCCATCATCGGAAACCGTGTAGTGATCCATACTAATTAATAACAATTAAGACTCAAATTGTTATAAAGAGGCAAAGAAGAACGCGTAGAACATTAAAAAGGTTTCGCATTTCAACGTGTCATATTTACAACAAATGAAAAAGCAATTTTTTTTTATAATTTCAAAATAAATTGTGTCAAAATTATTAAAAAAGAAACCGACCAAATGCGAGTCGGACTCGCTCGCGCATTAAGAGTTCTGTTTCATACAACAAACGTGATTTTATTCCAACAAAATCCAAAAACGGCAACAGAAATTACATCTGTCACTATTCATGAGATACGGCGTGGTGACAGATAGACTGAAAGCGGAGTTTTAGTCATAGTGTCCCACTTTTATTCTGTGTGTATGAAACCCAAAGTAAAATTTATAAATCACTAGTTTCCCGCCAGTGGCTTCGCTCGTGTGCTTATGTATTATACATAGTTGATCCTTGCTTCCCCTCTCATGGTTTCAAATCTTAACATAAACTTTCAAGTTTATCATTATTAATCGAGAGAGATCAGCGGTGAATATAATAGTACGTACTAAAATTGGTGCATATATACATATGTAGATGGTTTATCTAGAATGATGAAATCGAAAATCACATTCAATAATAGTTATTTATTCTAATAAAGGGAGTAAGGCATTGATTACATAACGAGTGCATATTTGAAACCCTTAATTAATGATTTGCCGGATCGTTAAAAATGTATATCCGGGGATACGGATATTGTTAAAATCCGCAGTAGCGGATCTTTGTTTTCTTACTTATCCGGTGTCGGCCCGCGAGATCTTCACTCTATTATTGACGCCACGCCTACCACAACGACTAGCAAGAGATATTTCGATTGCATTGCGCCGGTATTGCAATACAAAGGTACCGAATATTTGATTTTATGAGATAAAAGATGCTCTGAATAGAGTTTAATAGTTTTTTTAATTCTACCTAATCACCGATTATACAGCATTTCACCCTATCAATTGAAAATTAATAAGGTGAAAAATCCGCGAGAAAAGTAGCAGACCTTTCTTCTCCCTCGGATATAGGTATCCGTGGACATGGGAAAGAGTGTCCGGAGCGTCACTGTAATAGGTACCTCCGAGAGATATTATACTTTATACTATAACCACCAATTCAAGCGGAGCCGGCGTGGTGATCTATGACCCGTTCTACCTATTTTATTTCATCCATAGGAAATGCCTTTACCCCAGCAGCAGGGCCTTTTCTATATGCGTTTCAATCGGTCCCAGATCTACGGTTACTTCCAATCGGGGCAGAAACTTGATAGTGTGGAACAAGGGCCCCCTCACCGTCCTTAAACAAAATTGGGAGAATAGACCATCACCTACCAAAGTCCAAACAGACTCTTTGCATGTCGGTGGACGCTGATCAAATTATTTGTCACCCATCTTGTGATCGTCTCTTCCGAAACTTGTGTCCTCAACCTCCTCAGCGCTGACCAAAGCTCTTCCAAATACACTATTTTATTTTAAATATTCACAGGTGGTATGCAAGATTTCAACTATTTACGCGGTGGATGCTTCGAGGTAACATTCGAGTTATCGTGTTGCAAGTACCCACCCGCTGAAGAATTGCCCGAATACTGGCACCTCAATAAGGAACCTCTGCTGGCTTTTATTGAACAAACGCATCTCGGCATCAAGGGCTACATACGTGATAAAGCTGGAAATCCTGTGAAGGTGAGTGTTTGATACATTATATAAAAAAAGTATTACTGTTAACTAAAATATAAAGCACGAACTAACTCATCATTAGCCTGTGTTCATCTACTCATGGACAAAAGGCCTCTAAGTGAACGCCCTTACTTGGGTAATGACACATTCGACTCCTTTGATTAATTCCTGCCAGCCACCTTACAAACATCGTCTTCCCATCTAGTCTGAAGGCGTTAAACACTACTTTTGCCGACCCGCGATTTCCACTTCAGAATCCGTTTGCTCCAACGATTTTCGGTTCTTTGACTAACATGACTTGCCCATTGTTACTTCAGACAGTTTTCTGTCCTCATTTCGTTTTTCAATAATTCAGAGAAACTCCGATCGTAACCTTCTCTTAACTGAGGACTTTCAATTTATGGACAAGTCCCAATAAGGGTGTTGATGGTACGGCTCTGTATATTATGACAGGAAGCTGTCTTTAGACTTTGTGGCATATACGATGCGAAGACTACGTCATTTTCCATAATTTGCCCAAATCAGATTTATTCTTCTATTGACTTTCTTATCATAATTATTTTTACCCAACTGCATTATTTGCCTAAAGTAAACTTGTTCTTTAACAACTTCCAGCACGTTGCCTTGTATTATAATTGGTCTTGAAGCAACACTGGTAATTGGAAATGTACTAAGTCAGTATATCCCAATGGATCGCTTCCAACTAGTTGATGGAGGCTAATATTAAATCTATAAAGATACGTAGACACAACGGCCTATGACGACATATATTTGGATCATGACCCACCACTTGGCCTAATACGTATTGGTAATAACCGCTGTGGACGCAGCTGAGACCAACAGCTTAACCTGCCTTCTAAAGCAATGATGTTTGGTCACCAATCCACGGTTCAACCTTGTCGAAAGTGGATTTACATTGGCAATCAAACGGTGTTACCATTACTAAACATTGCACCTTCGAGCATCACTTAAAAATGGTGTACAAAAGCTATACAAATAAATGCATCATATACATATGTTATACTATAAAAAGTATAAATAATTGTGTTTATTTATTGATTGTTGTTACAGAATGCTCAGTTGCTAGTCGAAGGAATAAATCACTTGACAAAGACAACAGAGCAGGGCGTATATTGGAGACTCTTAATGCCAGGCTTCTACAACATATCTGCGCACGCGCCGGGGTGAGTTTATGACTTTAGACAGAGAGCTCGTTACTGAAATATGCAAGAAATGAAACTTCAGTATATGACAGTATCACTCAGTACCAAGTGCGGATGTCACTTGTCCGAACACCTGGTTTTGTTAGTTGTATTTTTTAAAACTAGAGATAGGATTTTTAAATTATATTTGGCTGGGGGTCTCGGGTATCAGTTCATTTTGGGAGTATCTTGCCCAAAAAAGTTTAAGGATGACTGTTGCAAAGTAAATATTAACAAAACTATTTATTTATCGCCTGTACAGATATGATTCGCCAGTGTTGTCAGTGCGGGTACCACAGTTAAGCTCCGAGGCTACAATACTGAACGTGTCGTTGAACAAACGCGCGGGTAAGTCCCCTGCCCCCGCCCCTCACATACCACTCGCACCTATCGTTCTATTCACTTCTACTTTACTTATAGACGCCTTAGTAGAATTCTGAGATATCACTTCATTTATCTAACATTAGTGCGTTATTACCTAATTGTTCATTAATATTGGTAGATTTCAGTTGGAGTCATATTAAGTTGTTATAAGTTGATCTTAGAAAATATTGGCATTTGTTAGTGATTAAATTTTCATATCACATGAATTATGAGTTCTAGCAAATGAGAATAAATATCAAACTAACGATACCTAATTTATTTATTTAATGGAAAGTTTCTATATTCTGTTTCTAGGGCAGGCGAAAAAACGGACAATGACCCAAGGTATTATGTAAGCACTTAAAGCAAACGATACATATTGGTATCCATAGAACGTATCGTTTCCGCTTAGTACTGACTATCGATGTACAAGTGGGATCAGTGACCTATAACGACCCGTAAAACATTTTATAAAATAATAAAATCGTTTGTATTGCAATACAGACAGGTATTTAAAATTGTAGACTGGTGCCAATGAAATTGAACGTAACATTTTTCGTTATAACGCACTTGTGTAGATAAACTGTGAATCTTGCTTCAGTGTAATGGTTAGAGGTTGGGTTGTGATTTATACTATATATTTCCTAATTCAAGTGTAGAGTGTGAGTTACTTTTAAAGTTTTTACTACGTAGTAGCTTCGCAGCGGAAAAATAATCTTATATTATGACATATCGAAACTAAGTTGCGCTGAGTACTGTGAACGTTTAAAAGCAAAAATAAGAAATTCTCCAATTGTTTTAACCATAAAATTATTGATAAATAAGTTCGAAATCGATTTTTGTAATTTTCAGATGATATAATATGCCTTTAATCTTGATAACTGAGATTTCAAATTGATTAATTTTAACGATAGGTTTTTCAATAGAAAATTCAATTATCTCTAAATAAGTATTATGCATGATCAATTTTGCATTCATAATAACGTTGACACAGAGGCAACACGATGTCTTTGGTAAAAGTCCAAAAAGCGCCATCTGGAAGAGTATTCAGCGCATATAAATTTACATAATTACGTAAATCACACTTTGTACTTCATTTAGATATCTGCTGAATAATAACCGTCAAATTTTGGCAAGGGGCAGTTGTAAAATGGTGGTAGTACTTACAAATACTATGGTTGAGTTTCATCGCCCATCACAAAAATGTCATTAACATTTATTCTAATAGATTATAAAATATTTATATTTGTAATAACTTAATCCTGATTCATATCTACGGTATGTAACAGATTTTGGTGTTGATATTCCGGCCTTCGGTGTATTAAACCTGGGATTTTTTATTGATGAAGTTATTTCAATGTGATAGATCTACGTTTTTTTTAAATGATTTATAAGACTAAAAATTGACTGATTTATTAATTTATGTTTCCTTTTAGGCACTTAAGTAAAATGATTTAATGTGTAATTTAAAAAAATATAAAAGCTTATATGCTCAATTTTATCGCAATATTTTTTTTAAACAATGTATTTATAGTGCTTGTAAGGTATTTGTAATTTTAATTAATGAAATGAAGATACGGTAGTGGCCAGGAGCTATTGCTATCCTTATTATTCTGTAAAATATAGTGGAAAAGGTGAAGAAGCATCTTTGTAATTTTGTTTGCTCATATCTGTGCAATCCATTTCACTTCTGTGGTCATTTCACGCTTTATTACAAGGCAGTACGGTAGTAATTTTGTATCTAACGTGTGCATGACCGGCTCTGTATTAATACCAAGCTTTAATACAGAAGCCGAATAAACCAGATTGGTTTAGCTGACGTAAATATTACCTCCCTTTCTTTATATAGAAGATAAAATAAAGATAGGTATATAATGAGAAAATGAAGGTAATTTAAGAAATCTTTGCCATATCGTGTAGATGAAGTTTTACATTAAATTCATACCTTAGCACCCTTTTATATTTGTACGATACAGCGTGATGTACATTATACTATACAGATTGATTTTTAGCTCTGTCAAGAAAATATAGAGCTTAAAATCAATTGAAGAAGTTTAAAGTTCTCATAGAATTTTAAGTTGATTATACTTTATTCCAATGACGTATAAAATATAAGTAGTTACGGCATGTATCTGATCACATAAAAAGGTATAGGTAATATTAAGCAATATAATTTTTAAATTAGACGTAAGCTATTTATGCCATTAAATTCGGAACATAAGAGCAATACTTAGCGTTAGCTTAAAACTTATTGATTTTAGTTTTAAATATCCAATTTTAGGTGACATATTATATCATCTTATCCCAGACAAATTACTGGGGATGATTCCTAAATTGATCTCATGTTTTCTGAATAAAATTATTATTTTAGACTGATTTCATAAATTTTATTGAAATCGAAAATTAGGGTAAAATATTATAGACAAAGTCTTTCATTTATATAAATGTAACTGTATTATATTGACAAGTTCGATAAAAATATTTTTTGTCTCTTAAAAAGTAATTATTTTATTTATATTAAAAAGTTAACTAGGTTCAAATTGTCGGGTGCAATCCCTGTTTTAGGTATCTGCTTGTCAATTTGTCATATCATTGTTCTCGTGGTTTGTACCGTATGTGAAATAGAAATAAGGTCGATAATTGAATTTTATTCTTAATAACTTTATAGAAATTGAGGTATTACCCCTAATTTATTGGCGTTATGACTAAATTCAATGTTGTGATAATATAAATGCATTGTATACTTATTACTGTAGTTGCCAAGACAAAAGTCTTCCTGTTTATATAAAATTATACTCTATGGTAATTAGATTAAGACTGTATATTGCTTATAATATTTTAATGATCTTTATAAAATACAAACATCTTTTAAATAATGTAATAAAAATAACCCCTAGTCGAATAAAATAAGATTTCAAAAGATGGGACGGATTTTGTAAGGCATACTGTAGAAAATAACACTGATTGATGTCGCTTTATATGTTGTGCTAATCTAAAGAATATAAATAACCTTAGTTTATCTCATATAATTTAATGAAAGACTCAACATTCCTATTACATTATTTATATAATTTTATTGAGATTTGACAACAAAACATTCTCATAGATTTAGAATTATAAGTCTCCCGTCCTTCTAGTCTTCGAACGCACATAATAATTTATTGATTTGATTATTTAATGATATTTTGTAAAAATATACCCGGAGAAGATTGAATAAATATTGTTCCCTCATTTTTTCCATAGTCGTTTCAATTTTGCGCCTTTTAAATGTATGTTTCATTTGTTTTGTGTTTTCACATTTTACTCTTTAACAACTTTTGTAACCTGTCTGTAAGCCTATTCATAATATTAATGTTTAATAAATAGCATTTTGTCATCTTATTTCATCAAAATAACCTTTAAGTTAGATATTTTCATTCAGTATTTAGAAACTGAGTAAACGAAAATGTAAATGATCATTCATGAAACTATAAAAAGAACGTTTTCACTTCTTTGATTTTTAATAATTAATTTATGACACTTATTAGGACGCGATGTCGACGTCATAGCCATCCATATCTATCAACTGTAACCAAAACTAACCAAGATTTCTCAATCTGTAACCAAAAGTTGACAAATAAAGTAGCTACCGGCTAAAATAAGGCGCGTCTTAAACAGATTCATTATGTTCAAATTCATATTACGCTAGTATCGATACTCGATGTATTGTCAACTTTTAAAATCGTAAGATATCTCGGTTTATAATCTTACTAAAATTATTGTAATCTAACCTAAACTAATCATATGATAATTTATAATCTAACTTGACATCATTAACTATTTATAATTTAACGGTGACACATTGACATGGTTACCCTTCTAATTAAGAAACGTCACTAAATAGGCAAGGTAACTGTAAATTTTGGTAATAATTAAGGTTAGTATATACAGATATTGAGAGCGTCAGACATGTACAGGCGCAGATATAATAAATAATATTCTTGTATCAATGTCTATTAAAATCTTTATGTTTTAAAGTGACACAATCGCACAGACGCCAACGGACGGACGCGGACTGTGTGATTTGTGTGCGATACGCCAATCAGTGTCAATAGAGAAAATTGTCTCAGTTGATATCTGTCCCGGCACGTGTCTAACACTCCTAATGTCTACACATATAAACGAACCTCTATTTAAGTACGCTTCTAGTGATGTTGCCATAGCGTCCTAATAAGATATAGCTATAGCTGCTCTATAAACTTAATCAACTCGGTGAAGGTCAGAATGAGTACTTTTAAAATGACATTTAAATAACAACCCTATTTATTTACGGTTAAATTATAAAAGTGTGTGCAAGTATATTTTGAATTCACCCTACTATAAATTGTTATTTATTTCAAATATATCGTAAGGGTATATATATTTTTTTAAGGTTTCATCTGAAATGGATAAGGTTGATATTTCATAATTTGATCCGTCCTTTCGTATCGTCTAAGTTACTTGTTATCTGCATTATTTTCTTTTCTTATCTTTGCTTTGGATTAATTTCTTTTATGCTCTGTTGATTTGCCTTTTAGTTTACACTTCTGTTTCACCTTCTATCCTTTTCCAACAATTACGCTTTGAATACGAAAGATAAATTACAATTATACACAACGCTTCGGTGATGGGACAAGTAAGTATAGAAAATCTACCTCCTTACTCAATGCACAATATAATGCCCTCAATTGCAGTTGAAACACAGCTTCAAAAACAGCACATTTTTCATATTTTCAATTGCTACATCACACATAATCATATTCAAACATTAAATAAATAATATCTTATAATAATCCATATTAATATGATATTATTTTAATAATTAAGAGCAATATACGTGTGTACAAACATAAATATAATATCGAAAAAGATCGAATATTGAATGGAATCTTAATGATATTACAAACACAAGAGTTTTTTTTTTTCATTTAAATTTTTTCACAATTATCCTATCACGACTTCCATTTTTATTGTTATCGGTAATCGATGTGATTAGGATCAATATCAGATAAGAGAGAAAACATTTCCTAAACACATGGCAAATCCTCAGAGCATAACAGGGAGGCGCGTCAAGATCTCGACGGTATTTCAGCGGGAGATTTTGTACATCACGACTACGTGGCAATGGAGAAGTTCCTGAAGGATCTGAGCGAGGAATATAAGGAGATCACCAAGCTGACCAGCATCGGCAAGTCGGTGGAGGGCCGAGAGCTTTACGTCCTGGAGGTGACGAAGGATCCCGGGAAACACTTGCCAGGTGAGTTACGAGTAAGCGAACCGATGTGGGTCTTGACCTCCGACATTAAAGAGTGTCATCTGGTCCGGTTCTGCACCAGTTCTGTCCACTCGAGTACTTGGAAGTTCTTTCAAATCTTCGACGACTTCCCCTTTCAACCTATATTTTGGGTGACACACCGGACGACGCCCAGTTGGTTGCGCGACGTACACTCTTTTGACTGCTTTATCCTCTCCCATTCTCTCTAATATAAACCAGTTACCAAATTCAACTTTATGCTAATGCCTTTCTTAGTGCCGTCAACAAAACTTATATAAAAATATATCTTCTTTCTTCAACCCGTTTTAAGCCTTCACACGTTGAATATTTGATTCATATTCGTTTATGGAAATCTGATATTTTTTACTAAGCTAATCTACTACTGTTCGTACAAGGCGGTGCCATCAGCGTTGATACTACGACATTTAGCCTATTCCTCGTCCACCTAGTGACTGCAAAATTTCTGTGTATAGTTTCGATAGTGAAAAAAAGTCAGGACTTACTACAAAAACTAATATTTATAATATTGAAATAAACGTAGACATTCTCAGTCGGTTTTTTTACTGAGTTTTTTGTTTGTGTATCACGTAACCGGAAACATGACCTGCAACAGTGTGACGTCATATTGGCGTCCTGCATTTGTCAGATTAATTGTAAACAGCTGCTTATTTATTTTGTAGCAGATGTTATTGTCTTGTCTAATGGAAATCTTTTAATCTATTAATTAAACTAATTGACCTCATCAATAATGCGAACAACGTTTTCGCAGATATAAAATTTAAATTTTGATCTACACTTAAGGAAAGAAATCGCGATCTTTTTCAGAAATATTTTGTTTTACTTATTTAAATCGACTTAAACACTATTATAACTATTTGTTCCAGTTGCTGAATATCGTAATCTAACAGTATTTTTTAATGTATTGAAGGCTTATAAGAGTCAGTTTTGCTAATATCCAGAAATTCTCATATTAATTAATTACCAAATCACAGGCAAGCCAGAGTTCAAATACGTAGCAAACATGCACGGTAACGAAGTGGTCGGCAGGGAACTGCTCCTGCTACTTGCCAAGTATTTGTGTCAGAAATACAGAGAGGGCGACGAGAGGATACAGCGCATGTTGAACACTACCAGGATACATTTGATGCCGAGTATGAACCCTGACGGTTACGAGAAGTCGAAAGTTGGTAAGTCGTTAAGGTCAAAATAAGAAATATTGAGACTGCATTCGCACTGAAAATGCAAGGTTGATCTGGTAGATAGTGTATAAAGGTTGATATGGCAAGTTCCATTGGTTCGGATTGGAGGTGGAGATTGGAGGTAGTTCGGTGGCGTAGTAGATAAGCGCCGCGGCCCGCAATCGTTGTCGCTAAGCAACTTTCGCAAGGATCGGTCACGGGATGGATGACTAAAAAATTATTATCTTGAGCTACTCCGTGCTTCGGAAGGCACGTTAAGCCGTTGGTCCCGGCTGAATTTACAGTCGTTAATACCCTCCAATCCGCATTGGTCCAGGGTGGAGAGTCATGGCCCATACTCCTTAACCATAAGGAAGGCCTGAGCCCCTGCAGTGGAGACGTAAAAGGGCTGATGATGATGATGATTGGTTCGGATATGAGGAATGCTGTATGTAATAATAACAAAACTGATTACAACGCGAAAGTGAAAAGATGAAGTCGGGAAGTGCCAAGAAACATCTTGGTAGATCTTGGTCGCCTATTATTGTATAGTTATATCTATAGCTATTAAAACCCGCTAGTGTATGAATAGTCAAGAAAATTAAAAATGTGTTTAAAGTAGTGATAGGAAAAAAATATTTTTGGACGATTCTTAAGTGTTTGTAATAATATAGAGAAGGCCTGTGCCCTAGCAATGGGGATATTATCTGGCTTTATACGTATAAAAACTATAAAGAGGTACTAAATATAAGTAGTAAAAATTAGACATGTTGTTTATGTGACTATTATTTAAGGTGACTATAGCAGCATGCGAGGTAGAGCCAACGCCCATCACGTGGACCTGAATAGAAACTTCCCGGACCAGTTTGGACCAACAAAGGTAACAAATACTTTTTTGACATGACAAAAAGCATTTTAGAATGATAAATATTATTTAGGGATTTGCCACCATGTACCTTGTATTATGGCTAGATAGAAATATTCCATTCATATCTTAGAAATAATGTAGAAGTATCAGCATGCCTGGGATTAATAGTTTCGGAGATAAGGTGCTACGTTTGTTGAACTGCTATTAGTCGACTGAAAACGCTCCCTACAAATTTAAGGGACTAAGTAACGTCGCACGGTGTTACGGTAGCGAAAAACGATGAGCACCTGAGCAATCCTATTAATATTATAAAGGCGAAAGTTTGTAAGTATGGATGTATGGATGTTTGTTACTCTTTCACGAAAAAACTACTGGACGGATTTGGATAAAACTTTACAGCAATATAGGTTATACATCAGAATAACACATAGGGTACTTTTTACTGGGAAAACTTCTCACTCCCACGGGATACCGACTTCCACGCGGACGAAGTCGCGGGCGTCCACTAGTATTTGTAATATAACGTTATTTGTGCGTTTATGTTTTGTTATAATGAAAGTTGTTACGGTTTATATAACTAATTTAATGCCAAATGTATTTTAGCAATTTACTGTAATATCTTTTCTCTATTGTTTTCAAAAAATAAATTTTATTTTGTTTAATATTTATACGTTGAAATAGTTCATAATTTCCGAACATATAACTAAAACCTGTATTTTCACTTGTAGGATACAACATTTTTATCGAGTTCAGGATATTTTTGCGCAATTTCAAGGGCCACAGTAACTGTAATCTTGCGGCTGGATGATATTATCAGATATATTAATCTACCCTCATTCGAATCTGCCATAAAAGTTAAAAAAAACAAGAAAACTTCTGTGAAGCATAAAAACGTTGTAAACTGAAGGTTTACATAAAACAGAACATACTACAGAAGGCTATGTTATATGGGTTTAAACCTCTGCCTTAAACAAAGTACTATTACTAGTTGTTTTGTTCACCTTTCGTTTGAGATATGCGATTAAAGACTCGCATGTTTCCATTTTTTTTGTATTTGTGATTATTGTCTATGAAATATCTATTGTCACCAGGATAATCTTACCCCTGAACCCGAAACATTGGCAATAATGAATTGGTCATTATCAATACCGTTCGTGCTGTCTGCCAACTTGCACGGCGGAGCTTTAGTAGCCAACTTCCCGTACGATGGCAACCCAACTATGGAGAGTGGACGACCGTATCTTACACCCGATAACCCTGTGTTCCTGCATCTAGCACATGTATACTCTGATGTAAGTATAATATAGAAAAAAAAATCGTTCAAAATATTGTTATTAATAATATTAATTTCCATAAAATCAGTGCTATTTGAAGTTTCTTAGAAATAGTTGCGTAAGTTGGTTGAATGAATGAATTGTTGTAGGACAGGCACAGTCCCGCTTTTCCGATATTATATGTCGTACTGAGAGAAATCTTGTTAATTGAAACAATTAAAATAAAAAAATCATTTATAATGAGTTATAATTACGTTGGAAACGTATCAATTAAGTTATTTTTATCTTATAATAATTCACATGTCTATCTTTATCTTTAAATAAATTATAAGAATATATATTTTAAAGTAAAATTGTGATTGTAAAATGTTTTATCCCTTCACGTGATTCATGTAGGTATGTTAATAATTTTAAACTTAAATAAGTTCCCGCGCGCACTATAATTGAATCTTCACATCACCCAAAGGTCGACTGAAAGAGAATGCCCAAGACATTAAGTCCGCCTATGTAAAATTGTGAATTAAGTATTAAATAAATATATATGCAATGCAGGCGCACCACAAAATGCATTTGGGTCAACCTTGCAAGAACGTGCCGGATGAGAGGTTCCCCGGCGGCATCACTAACGGGGCTCAATGGTGAGTTTGTTCAAACTTCACACTCGCACAAACTTTTTAGCTCACATAATCAATAAAAGTATTTGTTGTATATTAGAACGCTCGCGACGCGATGTGTCAACCAGTTAGGTGGTGATATAATTACCAGGTATTGGGATGATGACTGGGTTAAAAAAGGGGAATTCTATTTAGTACCGTAGTATTCTATTTAGTTAGTCAGATAATAGAAAAAATATTAGTTGTGTATTTTTTGCTTCAATTTAACAAGAAATTGCTTAGATTATAAACATTGAAGTTGAGGAATGGGGCTCGTTACGTCACATTTTTGTAGTAAATGTACAAAGCGTGACGTCATGCGACATTTCAACTCAATACATCGCCCTAGCTTATTGATTACGAAAAAATTTTTTAAAAATAAGTGTTTAATATTTTTCAGTCATCTACCTGACGGACAAACAAACAATCCCAATGATAGACAAAACAGTTATCATCTCTATTCTTATAATGTTACTTAATTATGGATAGTCAATCACGCTTCACCTATAACCCTTTATAACACATCTGTCACCATTGATATGCTAGGAAGACATTGCATTAATAATATTGGACTTTAGGTAAATACAAAATGCAAGCAGTTGAGATTCTATTGAGAGATGATTGAAACTCGGGTGGTTACTTTATTAACTACTAGTCTATACAATTTTCCCGTAAAACCAAGTAGCATAGATTGTTAAAAAAAATGGTTTCTGAGTTTCTTCCAAAAAGTGTATTTTGGTTACATCACGTAGAAATTTGTAATGTTGGCGTTCAACAAATAAGTCCAAAACTAATCGATATTTAAGTTTTATAAAGCTTTTGAAAACACGAGTTTTTAGTTAAAAATAGGCAGTCGTGAAAAATTCAAAAACACAATAAATCAATTGTGCAATATAAAAAGCTCAGAAGTAGTTAATCTATCCTTTAAGTAGAGATTCACATGGAATCTACATCCAAATTTTATGAAAACCTTTGCTGCTTACCAAAATAATACCATTTCGCTTTTTTTGTCTTCATGAACTGGACTAATAGTTGTATATCAGAATTTTTTTGATTACGGTAGGTACGTGTTGGCGGGCGGTATGCAGGACTGGAATTATTTACACACGAGTGATATGGAACTGACTCTAGAACTGGGCTGCTACAAGTTCCCGCCAGCTGACGATCTGCCCACCTACTGGGAAGATAACAAGGAAGCGCTGCTAGCGTTCATAGAACAGGTCTTTGATATTGTCATTTAGTAGTAATTCTTTTCATAACTTTATTGCCAGAGTAGTTGTCGTAATTTTATGTACAGCCAATAGCGCAGTATTGTAAGATGACGTGCTACGGTATGTACAAGAAAAAAACAAGTGTGTCGTACAATATTTTAAAATTAATATATACTTTTTTATATATGTAATAGATAGACGCTGATGATCAGGCAATAATGAAAACGAAGTAAATTATTAGTATGTATTGATATTTTTTTAACCTAATTTAATTTTTTTGGTTCAGGTTCATACTGGAATACACGGCTTTGTTCATAGTCACATAGGTCATCCGCTAGTGAACGCCAGTATATCGATATCCGACGTCCGGCACGCCGTACGCACAGGACAAGATGGCGACTACTGGCGACTCATGCCGCCTGGCGTTTACAATATCACTGCCTCCAGACAAGGGTCAGAATATACAATTTCTTATGCCTAAACTTCAATTATAATACAAGTTCTTTCCATCATCAAAACAGTCGAAGCATCAAACATCAACGTTCAGTTGTCAGTAAACTGAAAAGTGTATTGCTTCGTTGTCATTGCGTATTTCTAGTTATTAAATTTTGTAATTATAAAACAATCAATGTGAACTCAAAAAACCTGATAACATGTGCACTATTTACGTAGTTAACAGATTTGACTCAATGACTTTAGAAACTAACGAAGTATCATCAACATTATGCGTATAAATTATCAATATAGCGAGCAACTTTATTAATAAAATTTATAAGAGTAGGGGACCTAATATTGATCCCTAGGGCACCCTCAGAATTAGAATAGTAACAATTTTTGCGCTTTCTCTGAAAAATATAATTTTATAATGTTGAGTGCTAAATTAGACACAACATGATACTCTTTTTTTTTAACAAATATTTGAATGATTTACTTAATCGAATGCTTCGTAAAGTTTACATAAAATTACGTCTTCGTTCTTACCCAAACTTGAGAAGGTAATTAATGTAAGTTATGACTCTCGTCTTGTACATCAATAAATAATCGAAATGTGTCCTTTGATCAGATACGAAAGTATAACTGAGGAGGTGACTGTACCAGAGAACGGCTCAGTAAGTGTTAACTTCACACTGATGGCGGACGATCCCCAACACTGGTCCTCAGCTTACGACTTCAGGTACGTTACAATTTGTATCCTCAAATCGTTTTATTTGCCTATTTCAAAATTTTAATTTAGATGGTACGTTTTCTTTGGTTTTAGTATAAACCAATCTTTGCGTGTTCTCCAATCAAACAGTGCCAGATCGCCCGGCGCATACAAAAAAAAAAACATGATACGTAATACCAAGCGGTCATTAACTTCTGTGTCAGTAGCGTGAGCGAAAATAATAGTCTTTATTGAAACCATTTTCTTTCTGTATCACCAAGAATATAAAGTAGAGATGTAACGGATAGTGGTTTGGTCTTTATTCGGCCTTTATCGCAATACATGACCCGATCAGTTTGATTTGAATCTATAGCGTGTCAAGTATAAGCAGTGTTACCAACTCTGAAATCTAACGGATGGTAGATTTTTTTTTTTCAGCATATAGAGTATTTTTAATTTGGAATAAGGTAGAACTACCGTGAATATTTAGCAATACGTTTTGGGTCAGAGTAGAAATAACACGTTATTATTAATTAGAATCAGACAGTATAATTATTTCGGTATTTTTATACATATTTATTTTATATTTTTGAAACATTCGATGTTTCAAAAGTATAACACATATCGATGGGAACAAGAACAATACAATTTATTCTGTGACGCTGTATGGCCTGTTGCGATAAAAAATTGCTTTAATCGATCTCGTAAGGAGTTAATTCCGTTTTTAAGTTTTTATGTCATTTACTTTGCAAAAACTCTTTCGTATTCAACATTCGAGTGTGGCAGAGATATTCGTTTCATCTCAAATATAAAGTGTATGATTTAGAGTAACAATCACATTTATGGGATAATTAATATAAAAATAATGTCAATAAACAAATAACCACTTTGTCTCAAGCGGTTCAAGCTTAGCATATACCGGTCTTGCGATTAGCGTTGATTAAATTAATTAAAACTTTTCCTGAAAATATGATCTGTAATTAAACTCTACTGCAGAATGTTAAAATCGTTACTGATCAGATAACTTTCTCCAGTTATCAAGATTATTGGAATAATGAAGATGAACTTAACTCATACAACCGATTCTTTGAGGTGATATATCAGAATTATCATTATAGAAATTAGTTGAATAAGTAGAAATAATTGAAATTGCTATCCTGTAATAGTGTGTTATAAGCTAGAAACACTTGCTTTTGTATAGTGTCGTGTTAGTTGTAGAATCTAATTCGTCATAATAATGCTGTAAAGTATCTATTAACTAGACATTATAATTTAGGAATTTTCTAATTATAATGCGATGGAATCCATGTTATTGCAAAGACAATAACGTGCAAAGAACGTCGTATCCCAACTAGCAAATGATATCGTAAAAAAGCCAGCAGCACGTTTCTATTTCAGCTGTTGGTGGAGTGAAGGATCTTTAATATGTCGTATAAATGATCTGTGCACGTTTACTCGACGCGATTTGGGCGCACTTCTCTCGGCTATGAATGCTGTAAATATCGTAAGATAATCAGCTGAATAGCCAAAAACTCGAAAGAATATAGAGTAAAAGCAATTCGAATATTAAAAGTCCTATATTAGAAGTCATTACGCCATTATATCACACATTAGCTTTTACGAAGTCGGTTTGAACTCTTTTAGTCGATCTATTTATCGTAATAAAGTGGTGGTGTTGCAATCACTCGACTCTTTGATCGTGTGAAAGCAACCAAGCAGCACTCAAAAAGCCTTTTTTACTATCTTAAAATAACGTTGACGCAGTGTGTCTACAAGAAAAGAAATAATTATTTTTCAAAGTAAATATTTTGCCATATTACATTTTACAGCCACATGACATGAAGTATTTGTAATATGTGAAAGTTAGTTTATAGGTTCTACTTTCATATGGGGAATTAAATTTTTCGTGTGATATATTACATTTTGAATACTATTTTCATGGGCCACAAGATTACTTAGTAATTAATAAGTAACAAATAATATAAATTTAATAGGAGAATTGATTACGCCACTACCATTACTAGCTTCTAATTTACCTTCTCACAGCGTTTACTCAACTTTTAGTCAAGAAATAGAAATGAGATTTCTATTTGATAACTTTTAGAAACGCAATTTGCAGTTAGATTAGGGTTCCTTGGTGCAAAATATTAATCATTGTTATTAGAACAAGAGTAGTGTAAAGTGATTTTTAGTGATAAATAACTGAAATATATCAGTGACTTTTTTAAACAAAAGGTGTAATATTGATACTAAATACTAAGTAGATATTTTGTAAGTTCATAAGTATAACCTTATAATTACAATTCGTTAATTAAGAAGTCTTTTTTGTAGAAGAGTCCCTTTTTGTTAATTAAGTAGTTCTTTTTTTGTAGGTGCTAATAGAATGGTGGTCTATTTGGATGTAGATACATTTATAACAAAGGATGATCTTAAACAACTTAATAAAAATCGAAATGGCCTTGGAAGGAAACACATTTTTCAATGAGGCCGAAAAGTTATGCTTGTCGTACAATTATTAACAATAACACTGGTTCAAAGTTAATTCACTTTGTATTGTCTGATAAAAGAACTAAATTATTACTGCGCAGCTCATTTTTCTGGTGCCCAAATTGCTTAAAATATTCAGTTTATGACCACTATCTAAGTGACGAATGTTGTTATTATTATTAAGAATACAACAAAGTTTAATTAATTAAAGAATGTAGGTAATTCTATATTTAAATATACATGTTAACAACATAAATGTATGTAACATCTAACAAAATATCGACTTAGTTTAATGTAGTTAAGGGAATTCCCCTCTGGGAAGGGCATAACTGTAAAGTGGGGATAGCTCTACAACAAACACTGGACGCGATCACACTAACTGACTTAGGTCTAAAAAACAATCTCCTCCGTGTACATGCGTCGTGGTGACCACTTTAACATTGATGTAGCTTAAATACATGCTTAAGTCATGGTACCTTTATAGCAAAAATATACTTAAAACATCAAAGTAATTCAAAACCTTTTAGTAAAGGTTCTTTTAATCCGTTATGCCAGTATAATCCAGAGCCAACAACAAATATTTTAATCTTTGATATATTCGTTTTCAAAATAGTACGAGGATCTCTTGACAGCAAATATGGAATTCTTTTATTACATATTGTTGACAATTTTCGTAAGGCATCATGCGGTATATTGAATTGGAGTGCCCATTCTTTAATATTTGCCCAAAACTCATCATTTATATGTTCATCGTCTTCGAACTCCGAACTGTCATTTTAGAACGAGGAAATACTTCACAGTTGACGTTTTACCAATTTCATCATCAATCGTGACATTATTTTTTTCTACGGAACCCATACTAATATTACTTGATTGTACTTCACCCGTGGTTGCAGTCAATGTAAATGTTGATTGTTTCAATTGTGCATATATCTAGCTTACTTTTCGTATAAAACATCCACTTCTCTTAATTTTTTCCACCTTTTATGGTCCATTTTTCCAAGAATAAACATATATTATTGTTTTGTATGGAGATCCAAAAAACAGTGCTATTAAAGATTTTGTTTGATTTTTATACCACTATTACGCTGAATAATGACTTTCAAACAGTGTTTAGAGAACCTTTAAAGCTATAAGAGATAATTTGAAAGCTTTTACTCATCATCAATAGTTAAGCAGAATGAAAGGTGAGTAACAAGCAATCATATGACCTTAAGTCCTGATATAGTAAATGAAATGCTATTTTGTCTAATAAACAGCTTTTACTCTACAATAATGTTGCAATAATCAAATGTGGAAAGATAGTTCTATAAAAGCTAGTTTGATGACAAATAAGCAATTCAGTAGCTTTTAAAGAGTTATCATTAGGCTAATGGTTGAATGAAGGCGATCATGATATACCTTTTATACAAATATCGAGTAAATGCGATATGAACTCGTCGAGTCCACGTTTAGTCGACTAAAAGGTGCGCAATGCTAAAAAATCAAGAGAGCTGCTTTTATACAACGAGTCGATAGAGCTAAAAGGTGCGCAATGCTAAAAAATCAAGAGAGCTGCTTTTATACAACTATTTGGAATAATGGGATCTAGCATAAGATTGTTTTTCGATCTTAAGTCATAAGAGTGTTTGTTTATACGATCTTTTTGCTAGTTGGGATATACACGATTATTCGTGAATAGCCCCTAAATATTGAATGAGTAAGATTCATTTTAGCTGTTATACAAATCTTCTTTTTCTTAAATAATTTGATAGCAGAGAGCAATAGAAACATTAATAAATATTCTTAAAAATGCTTAAAAAATCGCCTTTGTCCCTGGCACTCTTGAGATAGTACTCGAACCCATGCCCTTTCGCATGATGCATGTTTTATTTATATCAGCTATATTCAGATGATAAATGTCACTAGATTGCGGTACTATGACAACATAGTTTACAAACACAATCTTGTCAATATACTTAATCGGAAACGAGAACTTTGAAATAGACGAAAGACATTTACTTTTGTCTTTCTCATCCTGAGTTTCTTGACGGTTCTCAGTATTCCTTAGCTAATGGCAACAACTGTAAAAGTAATGTTAAAGATTTTTTCTCTTTAAATTATATATTTTTATCTCAAAGACGCAAATTTATTTCAGGGTTCTAGACAACATAATGTCGACACGCTATCACACGCGCCCACAAATCTACGAGGCATTGTCGGAATTGGAAAACAAGTATCCTGATATCGCTGAGTTCAGAGCCGGCGATTCTCTCGCTACTTCTGTCTTTCACCAACTTAAACTAACTGAGCAGGTATTATGAGAATTTCAATACTTAAATATTTCACACAAACGGTGAATTCGTCAAGAATTCAGAGGCGATTTCAAGTAGATTATATCTATATCATCACATCTATTGTCTTTTTTCAACCAAGGAAAGAACTATCAACAGGTAACTGTGTAATTTCCTTACTTGATCTTTATTGTAGATTGTTTCTGGGAACGTTCATTTTTATCTGTCAGTAGATGGCGCTAGCGTTCTAATAAAGCGTGACATTCTTATATTAATACTTAACTAAGTTAAAAGAGTAAAACATATGATTATAATACCATACGTTACCGTACACCAGTACTTTATTTTTTTTGTATATCATGATTGTCTTACGTTCTCTAGGTCGGATCACCCGAAGAGACAAAGTTCCACATTGCGCTAATGGGCAGTTTCTACGGTTCCCAACCTTTAGGCAACGAAATGTTAGTTAATTTCGCACGTCATATCGCTACAGCGTACACTATAGGCGAACCTGTCCACAAAAAATTACTACAAACAACTGTCCTGCACTTCATCCCGAACATGGACACCCTACAAGATAAAATAGTGCGACAATACGACGGTACAGACAAATGTGAAGTGGAGCCTTTAGAAGAAGAGTTTGGGGATAGTCTCTATAATTACATTACAAAGAAGAATTTGAATCCGCTTTCTAATTATACTAGAGAGAAATCTTTTATTACATTGTTGGAAAGTGAGAAATATGATTTGGTATTGGAATTGGCATCTGGTTCAGAAGATGTAGTGTTTCCGGAGTTATCGAAGAATATCTACGAAAAATTCGCTAGGAAATACCAGGATAATAGGACACCGAGCGAGAAGTATACTTGTGGGAAGAATATCAATGTGGTACATGGTAATTTGGTGGATGTATTGTGTGAAAGATATAACACACCAGTGATATCTGTTGGGCTGAGCTGTTGTAAGATGCCAGTGGAGACCGAGATAGCTTACGTGTGGAGGTACAATTTAAGGGGCATCATGCAGTTCGTGGAAATCGCAAAGACTGGTAAGTCTATAATTTAATAGACGCCATTGTAATAGTTTAAATGAAAATCAGATTAGCAGTGTAATACCCGTTTTCACTAACCTAGAACAAAGCATAGCTTAACTAGGAATCACTTAATATTAAGAATAGCTTAAGCAGACGTGTCATTTCAGTAAACCTGTAAGTTTAAGTAATGCCTTCTTAAGTAATTGCTTAGATTGGCATAGTTTATTTATTATATTGCATGCTTCAGTTGTTCTTTTTTTAATGTATGGCCTTTGCGTTTAACACAATTCCGCCAATAACGTGACGTTAGAGGCCTTTACACGTAAAGAAGCAATAGCAAAATTATATACTTTGAGGTAATAAAACAAAAAAAATATATATCTGTGGTCTTGCATTTACACAAGCACCCAAGTCATCATTGTCCATATCTCATTATTTATATCCTAATTGTAATAATAAACTCATTGATTCCAACTTTTTATCCTTGACACGTGTTATGTTATGGCCATAGAGTAAATGTATCTATCACATTAAGCAAATGCTCAGCGTTAGGTGCCGACAATGCATGTCCTATCTTCCAGTGTTGCTTAAAGTCGTTAGGTGTCATTGGTGAAACGCATTTTATACCAGGCAACGCCCAAATATTTGTCGGATTTGGGCGACTCCTAAGTTTAGTGAAAACGGGCTTTAGAGCTACAAGCACTTTATCACGACGAGGTACTCCATAATACGGGAGCTTCAGCTACTCATCTTGTAATCTCGGTAATGCAGGTGATGTTATTCTTAATGAAAAATGCTTGAAAAAGTCCACTTTGTCCCTGGTACTATGAGATAGGATACGAACCCACGACCTTTCCCAATCCGGGTGATTGTTCTAACCACGGAACTAGCCAGGACCTAACAGGACTGACGAATAACAACAGCCTGCTAAAAAGTGGGGAGCGGTAGGAAGCTCGGCCATTTATGTAAGGCCGGGCTATTAAAAAAAAAAAAAAACAAACAGGTCACGAATTTTTCAAGCACTTGTTACTTTTCTACTACTACAGAGCGTATTTTTATTAATGACAATCAAATAAATAAATATTTATTTATTTACTCAGGTATAATAGGTTACATAAAGAACGAGGAGGGTATGCCCATGAGATCGGCGAGCATAGCGGTGATGGGTGTGGAGCGTCAGTACCGCGTGACCCACAACCAGGCGTACTACCGCGCGCTGTTACCGCCCGGCGAGTATCGCGCCATAGTACGCTGCCACAACTACCGCGATCAGGTATATCACCTATAGGGAATATGAACGAATTTTTGAAATATGATAATTTACATCGTTGTATAACTATAAAAAATACCCGACACCGCAAAACTAAAATTTAATAACAATAACAATTTATGAAAATAAGTAACATTTACGAACAATTTAAAAGCCGGAATTTTTGGCGCGCGCTTTCACCCAAATTGATTAACAACTAATCTATTTTTAAAGTATAATAGACTTTTTCAATAACCATATAGTTTACCAAATTGGTAAAATAAAAATAAAAGCCTAAAACACAAAATTGTAACCTGTTGTTTATTTTGCGACATAATACATTAAGGTTATTGCATCGATATTAACTTTTTGTAACAACAACATCCCTATACGTGTATATTTTCGTCACATCTGCTTCTACATGTAGTATGGCGTTTGTATATTTAATAATTATTTTCAAGACCAAAACAAACTAATGTTGAAAAATATTTACATAGACTTTATTCTAAAGTAAAAATGACCGTAATAAAACATATTTAACCCTTTTTTTAACTAACCAGAGGCATATTACTTATTTTATGTCAAACCCAGTGAAATAAACAGAAACAAACACCGACCAAGAGCCACACCAAAAATTATGAACTTCTAAGGGATCCCTTCACATAATTATTCTTAATATTTTTGGCATGACTATTGGAATAAACGTTGGTATACAGTATATGTTGCTATTATTATCTTTTGTGCTATTTTTTTTCTTATATAATCGTATATGTTAGAATAGGTTAGCTTTAGATTAAGACTGGGTAGTTTCGGTAGTGAAAAATAAGTCATGAACAGTGGTCGGAATTAGGTAGAGTTATTCATGTACTTACACTGATTTCATACAGCGAAAGAATAAAGTGGATATGCCACAAATCCCGAGATTAATTTTAAAGAGCAGAAAAATGCCGTGATTTTTTAAATAAAATGTTATTTACTTTTACACAATTTAAACTACTGCACGCACGTTGCCAAACTAACATCAATGACATCGGATGTCCAAAGTTGCTAAATACATTGTCCATTAGAAATCCCGAGAAGGTCCAGATTAATATCAACATTTCGATGCAAGTACATAAATAACTCTACCTAATTCCGACCTCTGGTCATGAAACACGATTAAAATTATATTGAAATAAACATAGATAAGCTAGCTGATTTTGAGGCACAATAACAATGCTGGTGTGACGTCATACCGGTAGAAACATTTCTGCATCTTTCAGATTAGTCTGAAACAGCTGCCTGTTTATTTCAGATACTCCGTTGATATCTTATTTATATATTTTTATTTTATATTAAAATTACATTAGAAGGTATCATTGTTTTCTGATTGGCATTTTAGTATTTTATTTAATGTATTAAATATACTCTATGCATCTGTTTTTGTGTACATATCGAAATGACGTCTCAAAAAACGTCGAATAAAAAATGTTTAAATATTCATTAATTTTTTGCCCAGAAAGCATGCTTATTTCACCGATTTTATGTAGCTTATCGAAATTAAACACTTAAAAGTACTTTTTTAAATAAATAGAATTACCATATTGTATTATTTTTTTTAATAATTGTCAACAGATAGTTACGTGGCTAGTGGTGGATAATGTGGTGAAGCACAAGGATATTATTTTGCAACGTGTAGACTCGGACCATGTCAGTTTACCAGGTGGCCAATACAATGAGTTGCCAGTGGACAGTGACCCTAACACCATATATATCACTGGTAAGTTGTTATGTTTCAATGTTGAACTTAACTCTTAAATACTTTAAGGTTTAGAATTAAGTGGAGATACAGTTAACGCAGAATTCGTTAGACATAAATTTATATTTTTCATATAGCCTGTTACACAGACGTATATGGAAATTGTCATTTGTAAAAAGCGACAACATATTTACAATTCATTACAGCTTAAAGTCGATATTAAACTTTAATGAACGTTTGTGCAACTTAATAAATTAGAAGACACAAAATATACGATATTATTAATAAATATAAAATTTGAAATTATTTGTGTTTAAAATAAAGTGATAAGTGCCTACCGAAACGTGGAGGCACTTTACTTAATACGGTTTTCATCCATCCTATAACCGGTCATGCAAAAGATAAGCTCCGCATCACAGACCGAAAGTGCCAAGTACTTCCCCATCCAAAAGTGGCTAATACGCCGGTTTCTAGATGTCGCTATTTCTGTAGCCCCAGGTTCGATTCCTGTTGGGTAAACATAGAAAAGTGTTGCAGCGTCTCGGTCATAGAATGGGTGATTAGAATCTCGAGTTCCTCCATGCTTCGGTAAAACGTCAAGCCGTTGATCCCAGCTACATTTACTATCGTTAACCCACTCACCGATCCGCAATGGGCCCATGTTATGAGTTATAGCCTGTTCTCTCTATCTGATTTCATTCATAAGGAATTCCTATACCGCAGTAGTAGGGACATTAATAGACTGATTGTGATAGCTATTAATATTTTTTGTAGGTCTCGCCCTTGATTACAACAGCGTGCCTCTAAAAGATGCTCAGCTGAAAGTCTACCCGCTGATCAAGACAAGATCCCCTGTAGCCAGTAACACCAGTGATGATAGCGGAAGATTCTTAATAGCTATACCTGTCACGTATATGGGCAAAGAAGTCCGTATAACAGCCTCAATGAATGGGTATATCACATCTGAAAGACATGTGGCGGTAAGTACAGAAATTTGGATCTTAATATCTTTGTATTAAAACTTAATACTGCTCGGAATTTTAAATCAAAGTTCTTATATCAACCTTCAACCTCCCTGAATGGGAATATAGCTTTACACAACAACGATTTTAAATATTGTTACAATTCATGACATGATGGGGAGTTATAGTATAAGTTTCATCTTGACTTCGAAATTGTCGTAAAGGAGTTTCATTATCACTGTGTGTTTTTATATGTGAATGGAGGCTGGAAGTGGCTACTTTACTGTAAAGTAATATTAGTTATAAGTTGGATGAATTAACCTAGCTTGAATGACGTTTTTACAAAATATAGTGTGGAATTTAAAAATCTAAGATAAGAAACTTATGTATGACTTAGTTCGAATCTCCCCTTCATAATAAAATTCATCCTAATAAAAACTCAACAAAAAACGTCCAAACATTACAAGAATCCGGTAACAATGATCAATGTTATTTGGATACAGGTGAATGGAAAAGAGAATTTGACGCCAAACGTGCTTTTCAAGTTGGAGAAGGATGATTATGTGCTGGGACTGCCCCGACTTGTGTTCGTTATGCTGGCGGGTAAGTATGCGAATAACGTTCAAGAACTTAACTAACAATATTATTGTTACATACACAATATGTGATGAAACAAACATCCTCTGACAAATAACAAAACCTTTAACAAACAAAAGTATAAATAATTGATAAATTTAGTCTCTCTCTTTAACCCTCGCCAGACATACACGCAAATATCTAAAAAAGCAGGAAGTATGATCCAGGTATTTGCGAATTTGTGCAAAATTTGAATACACATTTATAGTTTATTTTTGTGCGTGTATAAAAGTAAACAAATTTCAAAGTTTGTGTAGCCTTACAGACTCGTTGCAATGTTTGATATGTTATGATATGTAACGATGTTGTTAATTACATTTTCGAGTTTCTTCAAATTTAAACATCAATATGAGGTGCAAAAATTCTTGTAAACGACGCATGGCTTTGAATAAAAAATAGTTTCTTAGTGCCTTTTCATCATCTGTGCTGTCAGTCATATAAACAACAAAGTTGACAACAAATTATTTGAAAGCAAATCTTAATTAATTAAAATGTTTTGTAAATATCTCAATCTTTGATGATATCTGGCGCCCGCATAAAAAACAGCGGGAAAGTGGTTATGAGAGGCAACACAACGACAATTGAAATTAATTGAAAAATCGATATTACCGATCATTCCTTTCCAATCTCGAACACGTTTATTTGAATGGAAACCACTCTTCATTTCCGTAGTTGACACAACTGCTTCTAATTACATCTATATGTGTGAATGTGCAATTGTGCATGTGTGTGTATGTTTTATAATTATTATCTAATTTATTTAGGCTATATCTGTTGAATACATTCAGTATTTCTTTTATATTATAGATAAACCAGGAGTTTTCAAACAGTTTAAGTTTACGGAACATCACCTAACCTTTTTATTTTATGAAACCTTGTATATTATAAGATAACATTATCTAAACGCAAAATATACTTTGATAAAAATAACACTTTAATTTTGATGTAAAGTATGAAGTTGTTTCTCTGTTTAAATAAATAATTTACGGAACCCATGTTGACTTAGTTTATTTCTGAAATACAGCCATTAGGTACATTCTTTTTTATATGTAAACATTGAGTAGCTCAGTGGTATAGTGGATAAGCGCCGCGGAACGCGATCATTGTTGTCATGCAACTTTCGCAAGGGTCGGTAACGGGATGAGTGACAAAAAATATTAATTGTCTCGAGCTACTACGTGCTTCGGTAAGTTGTTGCAGTCGTTAATATCCTCCAGTCTACAGCTTGGAGGGTCATGGCCAATTCCCCTTCACCATCTATAAGGAAGGCCTGAGCCCCTCCAGTGGGAACGTTAGAAGACTGATGATGATGATGTAAATATGTCACAGAATCATAGCAAAATTAGGTTTTTTATCATAAGGATGATAAAATTATTACTTAACTTCATTATAGAACTAAGAGAATTCAGTTTGTTTGTAAGAAAAAAAACCTAAAATAATTTATTATTTGCAACACTTATAGATAGAAGATTTTGTTGATAGTAATAATTATTCCTGTATTTCTAGCTGTTAGAAATCCACAAATTGTTACGATAAACAGAACAGATTAAAAAAAAAGGCATGTAAGTACAGTTAATTAAAATATAAAACGTATGGTGTTACGTGTGTAGGTGTGGTGGGCGTGGGCGTGGTGACTCTAGGCGCGTGGTGTTTCCGCGGGCGCGGCGTCACGCGCGACTACCACTTCACTCAGTTGCCCTCCGACGATAAGCGGCCGCTTTGCGACGACCTCAACTATGGTATAGCATTAATAAAGCTATTATTTTAGGGTTTCGTATCCGAATGATAAAAATAAGTTCAAAACTAAAACCCGTTTACAGCTAAAGACGCTCTAAAAAGTTTGAAACAAGAAATTTGTTTTATTTATAGCGATAGCTATATTTATTGTTTCAAACTTTTTAGAGCGTGATTTAGCTGTATATTTTTTAGTTTTTACTTTATGCTCTTTAGAGGGCGCTATTGCCAATTATATCTAACGTCACATAACCTATAGCACGCCGACAACTAAGATGCCTGTAATGATACCTCATTTGTCCAGTTACGATGAGAAGTTTTGAAGTTATAAAGGAACAGATGAACATTCTTACATACATACACACCGGCCAAAATCATAACCCTCCTTTTCGCTTCGCCGTAGTCGGGTAAAAACGGGAGCCCTATAACTAATAGTCTGACGTCCAACCATCTGTTATCAGGCTGTATCACATGAACCGTGATAGTTGCAGTTTTTACAAGTGATGTATTGCTAACGGAACGAAATAAATATTTAATTGAAGTCCCGTAGAATAAGCGTGATTTTTTTGCTAGTCTTTAATACGGAATACTTATACTTGAGTCCAACTCACACTGGGCCTTTAATGATGTACTTAATTCTATAATCCGTCATAGAGTCACCGAAAGAGTAAGTAAGAAGCCCAGTAAGATTTATTTTGAATTGATTCATCGTTTACTGTATACTACTAGTCCTACTTTCATTTAATTTAATACACGTTTTGGGGAACTAATGAAAATATATATCGCTATCTACAGAACTACTGGGCCTAAAACTGATTAGGTTTTATACCTTAAGATTATAGAAAAATCATTAAGTTAATTTACGCAAAAAAATATTTACACTAAAACTCTGCAAGAGTCTGACTTGCACTTATCGGTTTTTTTTATATTACTACTTATTAATGTTATTGCAATTTGAATAACAGAAATAATAAGGAAGCCATACTTCGACGAGGAAGACATCCCGCCCTCGGAGACGGACTCTGAAGATGAAATCGTACTTCTCCGAACGGATCGTGAGTCGAAGCCCGTCGAATGAGAATGCGGACCCGTGACGGTGCGTGCATCGGTGACGTCCGCTTATCGTGATGTCCCCGAGATATAATAGACAATATATACTTAACATTTTGATGAGACATGACTTACTCGTCGCTTAATCATTTTAATGCTTTCAATATGTGGGAATTTGTGATTCTTTTGTCTTTGTATCTCTCTTATTTTAATATTATTCTAATACGGTTGTAATTATTTTAGCTAAAGTTGTTGAAAAACCAATTACAAAAGCTCGAAGTCATGTCTTCTCTGAACGGTTAGGTAAATATAGTTTATTCATATTCATAATATATCAATTTTAATAGGATTTCTAAAAGAAATAAATTAGTAGAAATCATATAACATATAAATTAATAATTCCAATTGCGCTTCCACGACGCACGATACAAACGAATTGTGATTTTGTGCCGGAAATGTCAAGCACATGTGATCGTAATAGAAGTAGCAAAATAACTGCAGTATTATATTATTGTTCCATTAAAGTTACAATTCCATTCTAAAATATGAGACTGTTAACTAAAATCATTAAGATGATAAATTAATAACATTGGAAATAAGTGGGAACACCATTGAATGTCTACTTTACAATTTGTGATCATCATTCCCATATAAAGTTGTTTTATAGTTATTGCTTTATTATGTATATTAATGAATCATTTCCATTTATATTTGTTTTGTTCGTCATTTATAATCAATTTAAGTTTGATATATTTATTAAATTAATTAATTATGTCTTTGGTAACAATGAGCTTTTCATAAGTGGTGTCTTTGACAGATGTTAGATAACATAATAGATTTATATTAGTAGAAATTAGCACAATGACACATATTTAGTTTAATTGATTTTTTTATTATATAAGGCTTTCATTTTTATTTTTTATGATTTTAGTATACACAGCCATACATTCCTTTTTATAAATAAAATCAAATTAATATTTTATAAGTAATTTCATAGACTTCATATATATATTCAACTAATATAATGGGTATTTTAAAACTTTTTATATATAATACTATATTTTTATATTAAATTGTTTATTTGATATTTAAATGATAATTATCAAACGAATTTATATTATAACGAATCTCTTACACTGTTCAAATGTGCCGAATTATTTATTCCAAATTTAAAATAACTAAAATGTGACAATTTTGTGTATTATGTTTTTTTTTTTAATAATAATAAACAAGTTGGTGCTCTTTTTAAATGTTTTACATATTTTTAGAACATTTATTCGACTGTTGTAACAATTCCATATTGATTGTATAATTATTATTATTGAATGTAAAAGTTAATAAATGTAATAATAAAAAATCATTTTTTATTGCAACTACAATCCGTGAACTAATTGGACAAATAATTAAGCGTTTGAATTCGACTTTTATTATCATTAATATCAAAAGTTAAGGAGGAGCAAATTCATGAAAAAGCTGTGATAATTTTGATGATAAAATTTTGCCGTGTACAGCAATCAGTTTAGCAAAGCCACTCTTCGATTTTGAACTGTAATTTTGACTTTGGACTTGGGGAATTATCTATCACTGACGAAATAGTGACAGTTTGCCATGATACATTGTTTCTGGTCTCTGAGCTATTTCGAATATAAATGATGGTACTTGTGTAATAAATCCATCGTGGCTATAATTATATATATCTTTGCTGCCTAGACAACACAAATTGTGATCTCTAAATTATTTTTTCTAAATAACCAGAGATTATTCATTCCAAAAACGACAGACATGATTCAGTGATACAATAACTATCTATTTTCCACAACGCTTTAAAGTAAAGCTGAATTCGCCCTTAAGTAAATCACTTTATGTTGATGTTAAAGCGAGTGCTTTACAATAACCGCGATCATCAAGAAGCGGCGATCACGGTTTGCTGCGATACGTAGACATCTCTAAGAAAACAACGCTTTACATTGATGGTCTTGTTATGCAACGTGCAATGTAACACGTAATGCAGAGCGTTAAATAATATACTTAGATAAAAAACCATGCAACATGTGTGTGAATGAAATATGTACATGTTTGTTCTAGTAACCAACCCAAAATTGAGCTTTTTCGCCATTATAAGTTTGAGAGTAAAATTCGCTTTGACTTTATAGCGTTGTGGAAATAACTAGTCATCAAAAATAATCATCAAAAGAAATTTATAACGACCCATCGCTAGAATCAATATGATTTTATATTCAATTTTCTGAATCCTTGATGTTGATGGTATCGTCCATCGTCCTTTACGATAAGAAAAGTCTATGGTATCCCTTCGGCTGACCCAAGGCAAAACCACTACTAGAGATTTAAACTAGACGTTTAAACGAAAAGCACTTAATAAAGCACGCTTTTCTAAATAAGTGCAAAAGCGCTGTTTCACTTAGAAGAAAATTATGCTAATGCTTATTGTATGGCCCGCCATCTATCAAGATATAACTACTAGCTTCATTCGATTTTCTGTTTCGGCATTTTTCTATTAGAGGGCAGTAAATAAATTGCTACTTAAGTAAAGACTTTTGTTTATTACTAAATAAACAACGTAAATAAGTTTTGTTATGCGGTGATGGTGTCTATATAAAACATTCTAAATATTATTGAACTGCATTAGTTTTACGATTGTGTAAATAAAATGTCGAGAAACGGTAATAATATTGTGGTCTTGTATTATACATAACAACCTTCCTTTTGAATCACCCTATCTATGAAATAAAAACCGCATCAAAATCCGTTGCGTAGTTTTAAAGATTTAAGCATACATAGGGATATAGGGACAAAGAAAGCGACTTTGTTTTATACTATGTAGTGATAGCACAATGTTGCACGCTTTTTATAACGATTTCTAAACGTCAGTTGAAAAAAAAGCGTTTAAGCAATAAGCAGTTTTTAAAAACCCTTATTAAAAATTGTACAAAGTATCAACACTTAAAAATTTAAGCAGTTATTTAAGCACCTCTAACCACTACTGTCTATGGTATCTCATGTGACAGATATATGACATTTGCGTCGCGAATGCCAAATGTCAAAAAGAATAACCTGCATTCGTATGTAGAAAGTTGCAATATTTTTGGATTTTACTTATTATAGTAAAAACAAATATCGTCCTTTATAAAACTATCTTTCCCTTTATTTTTTGTCGATATGCTGTGCATTTATTGACATTTGACTAACATTTGGTCTTTAATAATTTTTGGTATTCTATCGCTATATTAATATGATAAATAAACTGTCACCAATGTAAGAATGGGATATACCTGTACCTGAAGTGTGTAATTTACAATAATAAAAACTGAAAGTTTAATTGTGATGGAAAGAGTTGGTGGCAATTTTTCCGATATGAGCCGTAGAGCGGGAGAATTTTTGCGGCGAGTTAATAGAATAGCCGATGGCCCAATGACCAGAAAAAGATTCGTGATTATATGTCTTATTGTTATCTTTTTTATATTATACATGGGACCTGGTTTAATGAGCTGGTTACTGGGCACTGAGAGAATTGTTGGAAGTAAAAATGATTGTCAACGGAGCTTTTTGATGCCTTTTGTGAATGCTCTTAATGATTACGACGCTCATTTAAGGCAGGAGACCTCTGCGACTATATCTTCACTTGGTCACAATTTCATGCCCTATGTTGGCAATGGGTTTCTGGGATTAGCATTAGAACATGACTCTCATTTGAACATCAAATATGGACGTGCACTAGCATTGCCAATTTATTATCACCCACTTTATGTAATAAACGATTATGAAATGAAAGAATTTACAGTGGCAGATTATAAAAAAGGTATAGTCCATAGATTCCAATGCAGCAATACTGGTTTGCACATCTCTTACCAATATTATGCACACAGGACAATACCATCATTATTTGTTCAAGAGATATTAATCAGTAACCCAACTAATACTGACAAGGTGCTGAGATTGTCTGTACCACGAGTATCTGATTGGCCTACGTCTGTTAAACAAACAATAAAGTTGCATCAAGGTGTTGATACCAAAGATTATGAAGTTATCACTGGTATGATAGCTATACCACAAAGTGAAAATGTGGTTGCTGCAACAGTGGTATCAAGGAAATTGGGTGATACCATTAAAGTTAATGCTAAAGATGCTATAGAAGTTTTGATATTTACAACTGTTCATTACAGCAAACCAATAAAAAAGTTAGACTATGCAATACAGAAAGATATTGTGGAAAAAAAAGCTATTGATGAAATGGAAAAAGTGATAGCTCTGACCAGTGATATTTCTGCTGTTAGAAAACTTAAAGACAACCATATTAGAGTGTGGCAGGGACTGTGGGATACTGGCTTTTATATTTCAGACTCAAAAGCAGAGGGTGTTGTTAATGGAGATGCAATAAATGCCACTATATATGCAATTCTTTCACAAGTAAGAAGCTTAGAATATGAAGAACATATAAAACCAAGTGTGCGATCTGACATTCTTCGAACATTGACTTATGCTGAAGGCTGTTATGGAGGCCATTCTACTTTGGATGCCTTTAATTTGTGGAAACCACTGAATTCACTGGCAAATTTAAATGCAGTTGCAAGTATTTGGCTGTTGACTTTAGAAAAACATGGGTGTTACAAACTTATGAATGCAGGCGCTAGTGGTGTGAATCAAGCAATGATCCTGAGTTTTGGTAGTTTACGTTTCAGTAATCAGCATCTAGAGTATAATATACATCCATCAAAATTGCACAGGGACTTCCTCTTCCGTCGTTTAAATTATGGTAACATGACACATGTAAATATAAGTGTTATAGTCCAAGAGGACAACAAAGCTGCTATTTTTGTAGCGTTAGATCGCTCTGATAAAACTTACTATGCCTGCGATGCTGGTTGCTTAGATTCTCCAGTCCAACTGGGACCGTACAGGAAATATTTCCCAGTGAAGCTTACGGAACCTTTGACTGCCATATTATATGTAACTGCTGACAAACAACACATGGAAGAGTTAAGGCATACAATCCATGTCAAAGAAGTGATTGAGGCACCAGCCCATGAACATCATGTTATAGCCATGCACAAACATGGGCATAGTTTAGGTGGACTCAATCCACTGTTCTGGATATCTATCATAGTATTAATTGTAGTCTTCCACTTATTCCTATGTAGAATAATTATGAATGAATTCTGCGACAGTGGTGTGAATTATAGGAGGCTTTATAACAAACCTTGAAGAGTATTTATTAATTGCCTTATTGAAGTGCTTAGGATGGTTGCACCATCAATGTCCATTGACGCTTGACTGACTTTTGTAGGCTTTGTTTTTACAAATGTGTAATGTTTATTTCACAGTATTACACCAGTTTATGTGTAGTCAAATAGTAGAATCAAAGGTCTGCTGAATCCATGAGATATTTTCAAGGGTGTATTTTCTTTGTTAATCAACTGACCTCTCGACTTGCACCTATTATTCTTAACATATATAATGCTCATAATGATCCTTACAAAAAAGACAATTTTTAATTTCAATGGTATAGCACAATTAAGTTTTACCATGCACTGTACAAGAGACATAATGCTGCTCATTCACATTAATGTGTATTTTGATGTAAATAGTATATATTGAGATTTTTCTAATGTTGGGATATTGTTCTATCAAAATATTGTAAATTGTCTAACCTCTTAGTGCACGATTCAGACAGCATATTTCACTTTGTTGGATTATATTATAATAGTAGTTTATTGATTATCAAGGTAGAATAAAAAGCTGTGTGTGTGTATGCAGGCTACATTCAATTTGTTCCTTTTAAGAATACATGTTATTGTTATGTTAACTGAAAAAAAAAATATTGATTAACTTATTGTTATTCAAACAGAATAATATATTTTCATTTGTCTTCAATTTGCCTATATTATTGTATAATGATATAAATTATTTATTTTTTTAAATATTGTACGCATTATTTACTACATTAAGAGTTCAGTAGCGTCATCCACGGGTAACGTAATCATTTGCAAACTTACGACTAAGAAACTCATTGACTTAAAAAAGGTCTGAAATGAACTTATAATCAAACAACTGTCTTAAACCACTTTGGGCCTAATTCTACAATGTTAGCCTCATTATAGCGCTTCAATGACAATAATTGTTTTTACACAATTCGTGTTACTTAACAAAATAACAAACATGTTTCACTATTTATTTATGAAGAAGACATTGCACTTATTGGGCTTATATATTGGTCTTCAGGAAAGTAGTTAATACAATAGGAACCTACAATTGATTGAGACAGCATAGATATGCCATTATTACCTTTTAACATTAGCAGAATTGAGGCCCTGACGGGTGGGCAGGAATTATCTGGGGCTCCTTCCAACTTCGAAAGACAAGTTAAGTTATTAGTCCAGACTCTGTATTTAGTCTAACACCTGTACCCCAATATTGAGGAATATTAATATGATGATAATAATAAAAACCGTGAGAGTCACGCACGAAGGGTTCCATACCATAATCTATAAAAAACGCAAAATAATCACGTTTGTTATATGGGAGCCTCCATAAATATTTATTTTATTGTTTTTAATATTTGTTGATATAGCGGCAACTATCTACATCATCTAAGGAAATTTTCAACTGTTTAGCAATCACGGTTCATAAGAGCGCGGTGATAGACAGACGGACAGCGGAGTCTTAGTAATATGGTACTATTTGTACCCTTTGGGTATGGAACCCTAAAAAGATAATTATTTATTAGTATTCTAATAGTGTGGATGTCCTTAAAAATATTTTTTAGTGTATATATATATATATATATATATATATATACCTATAGGAGCTGTTGTTATACATATATGATGGTGGTATATATTTTTGAAAGAAAATAAAACTGTCATTTGTAATGTTCTACTTTGTTTATTATTTTGTTGAACACTACCTGATTATCCGCGACTTCATTCAAATCTCGTATAAGCGCGTCATCTGCGAATCGTCTGCAAATTTAAAATATACCATGTGTTGGGGGCCTAAATAATATCAACCACGTACGACATAGCTTTCCGTAGGTGAAAGAATTCTTAAAATCGATTCAGTAGTTTCGAAGCCTAGTCGATGCATATAAGCAATCAAATGTTTCCTCTCATTTTATGCTATTAAAAAAAAATAATATAGAATGAGATTGTTTTAACGTTCAGTAAATTCTAACTAATATAGCACATTGTGAAGCCTCGTAAACAAGATGAATTATAAATTTAAATTTTACTTTCTGTTCGGACCTAATGCTAACTGCATTATCTATAAAAAATGGTTAATCTAACGCTTACTGCATTAGGTTTTTTTTTGCGTTAAACGAAGGTTTACCTAGCCCCCGCCATATGAGTTGCTATAAATAAAGACATGTATCGCCGAGCACTGCTATTCTGTTAAAATACAGCGTCGCTAACAGCAACGTCGCGGCATCAGTTTTAATCAAATAAAACCCCCTTCAAAAGGCAATAAAAGTTTCATTTAATGAGGTTCCATTATAATCATCCTAATGAAGTGATATCACGGTGTTCGTTGCTGTATATTTCAAATAAGCAATCCCTCGAGCCTTGTTATAGTAATCAGCTGTTAAATTTTCGATATATTGAGAACTTTATCATGCTCAGTCCGAATTTGCCGTCTTGAAAATTTAGAGCAGGCCAAACTACGAAACGGCCCTGCGTTTCTGTAAAAATCCAAACCCAAACTCGAATTCTGGACAATGGAATCCGTAGAATTTCTTAACTAAACGACGTGAATACGGACACACGAGTGAATTCGAATTCGGGGTTCAGATTTTTACAGAATCACCCTGCAGTTCACAATATCGTATGGCTTTGAGAGCGCAAGTTTCAAATATGTTGATGTCACTACACAGAACTCAAATGATATAGAAATTATTGGGTTGGCACAAAAGTAATGAGACACACTAGAAAAATCTATAAAATTTCCTTTTTAAAATCTATTTTTCGATAATATTCTAGAATGTTGTAGTACATTCTAGGTACTTCTTGTGTTGGGTATATAAAGCCGCGCTCGCGATTTGTTTAGTCAGTTTGAAGAAAAATGGACGAGCGACAAGTTCGAACACTATACTTATACGAGTACTTGTTAGGCCACAGTGCGCGGGCTGCGGCTGACAATATCAACAATGCATTAGACGCTGGAAGTACAAGCCATGCGACGGTGTCCCGATGGTTTGACCGTTTTAAATCAGGAGACAGGAGCCTTGAAAGTCAGCCACGCTCAGGGCGACCACCCGCAGTGAATGATGACGATTTGCGCCGCGAACTGCAGTTGAATCCGGATGCTACCACTCGTGAATTAGCGGAAGCACTTAAATGCAGTCACCACGCCGTGGAACACCATCTGCATGAGCTTGGTTATCGAAAAGTTTTGGCTTGGTGGGTACCGCACATCCTTACAGACGCCAGTCGTGCAGTCCGTGTCGCTATCTGTCAGTCACTTTGCTGCGACCCCGACGTAAAGAGTTTTTGTCAGATCTGATTACTGGAGATGAATCATGGATTTATTACGAGAACGATACACGTCGTGCTTTTTGGCTGCCTCGAGAAGAAACGCCACCAACTCAACCGAAGCCGAGTCAGAAGAACCGCCGAAAAATTCTGCTTTGCTGTTCCTGGGATGCGCAAGGCATACTGTTTTATGAGCTATTACACAATGAAACTATAAACGCTGACAAATATTCAACCCAGCTTACCAAATTTATCTGCCGCTATCAAGAAAAAACGACGAAGACGAGTCAATGTAGTTTTACTCCACGATAACGCTCGACCTCACGTCGCATCTGTGGTTCGCCGGCAGTTGGAGAACTTGGGCTGGGAGACGATACCCCACCCACCTTATTCCCCAGACCTCGCCCCATCAGACTATCATTTGTTTAGAGCCCTGAAACAGCATTTGCGGGGTAAACAATTTAATGATTTCTCTGACGTAGAGGCGGAGTTGAACAACTTTTTCGAGGCACAGCCATCAGAGTTCTGGGCAAAAGGCATCCAAACTTTGCCGGATCGTTGGCAAGAAGTCTTAGATACTAATGGTAATTACATCATTGACTAAACTTTTTTTATTGTAATAATAATAAAAAAGTAAAAACTTAAACCAAGTGTCTCATTACTTTTGTGCCAACCCGATATTATTATCCATATTGAGCCAGCTATTAATTAAATCGGAGACCTGCAATGACCGCCTGACTCTCTAGCCATAGGATACAATAAGTAGTAATAATAGTAGTAAAATTAAACGAAATATCGTCTAATAGTCGCTAAGATGTCGTACCCTATGGCCTAGAAAGAATCCAGGCTAGAATTAGGCGGTCGCATCCCTGAGATGACAACACCGTTAGGTAAGCCAATCGACAATATATTTCACTGTTACTATCGTGTATTATATTTCTATCCCATGTTGTGTCCTGTCCGGATGATTGATCTAAAGAAGTGACATATTTGCAGAAATCTTATCCCTTTCCATCAAGTTATATTTTCATAATATTCGACATCACATAGGTACATTGCTCAGATTCTACGAGTCTAAAAAGCTCTCATATTATGGAATATTAGATGAAAGTACCACAGTACCTAGACCCGAAAGAATATAGAAACCTGACCGGGAATCTAACACGATCACAAAAATGGCGACACTTTGAAACAGGCGTGCGAACTACGGAAATGAAAGAGTCCATGTTGGCGTTTTCATTTGTCAACAATGGTTTAGTCAGGTCCAAAATGTTGTATTATATAGCAGAAAATAAATAAAAAAAACACTTATTTGAATTGTCTATAAATATATTTACAAAATATTTTCTTTTAATATCGTTTACAAGGCACATTAATGAGTACACATGACATCGTCAAGAGAGAAACATAAATTATTTAGAAATTAAAATAAACAATGTTGACCTCAACATTTTGACAACATTAGAACAAAAATTTTAGCGGCATTTTTTACACGATACATTACCGGCTAATAGATTATTCTGCCGTAGTGACCATGAATGTTTAAGGGTAAGTGCACATCTGTCTGTCGTAAGACGATCGCATTACGTCAGAGCCGACAAATATATGATACTAGCTGTTTTCCAGCAACTTCGCCGATGCTAATTATAGCCTATCGCGGATGATGTCCTTGACTTTGCCGTTGGTGAGCGAATTTTTAAAATCGGTTCAATGGTTTTGAAGCTTATTCAAAATCAAATCTATCCTTTTTATAACATTAGCATGGACGACATTCAACCTTGCACACTCGACGGTGACCCGACGAGGGTACTAGCTAACGTATACTTTTGTGAGACGTTTGACGTATTTTACATCAGATTTGCACGGACCCTTAAACAATATATTTTGACGATACTCCAAACAGGTATTATTATCGGATACGGAATACCACAACAGTGGAAAATCACGGTTTCATCATTTTCTCTCAGTAGCAGACGGCACTAGGGTTTTAATTTGATTTTTTTTTTATTAGCGAGAATATCAGTTTTTCATCATAGAAGGTTTCGCGTAAAGAATTTAATTTTTCAATATACACTCGACAGCAAGCACGTCAGATTATACAAATCTGTCAAATTTTTTAACTGGATTATAACCTTTATGCTTTGAGTTAGGGCTTAAAAGCTGGTAAACTACTGTGCAACTTTAATCAGATATTTATTGATCTAAATTTTCTTTTAGTTCTAAAATAAAAAAATAAATTTTAAAAATGCCTTTGACAACTCAACAGTTCCAAAGCAAAATGTTTGTTATGCCATGGGAAAGGACCACGAAGCCAATTTAATAATTACTATTGTAATAGTATTATTTTAAAATTAAATAGCACTTATCAAAAGGCATTTCTTAGATTTGACAAAACGTAAATCATTTTTCTCTTAAAAAATGAATTATTCGGATGTAAAATATCAGCATAATCTATTGACATTCAAAACGAATGAAACCGAAAGCCACCTTTTTTATTAATTTATATTGGTCGATGGAATACGCATGCGGAGTACTGCCGATCCCTACCGGCTCATTTTATTGGTCTGCAACCAATGACCGCAAAATGAGCCATAATAATAAACTATAGT